TTCAAGCTCGTTTTTATAACAAGAGGTCTCCTATTCTTCTCTCCGTGTTGGTTGATACAGGTTCGAGTTTATCTTCTATTGCTCGACTTGTTGCCACACGTTGTCGTCTACACTTGCGTCATGCGGCGGATTCAGTTTTCATTCTTTATGGCAACGGCCGTACACATGCATGTGCACGAGATGAGGCGGACCTGGTTGTACGTATGGGCGATCTCGAGCTTGAGTTGCAGTCGTTGCGGGTGGTGCCGAGTCAAGCTTTTGACCTCATTCTTGGTATGGATTGATTGCAGCACAATCATGCCAAGTGTGACTTTGAGGCTTCTCCCCCTTGTCTCATACTTCCTTATGTTTCATCCATTCCTCTCACTTCCGTACCTCTTTGTCCCTCTACTTCTACCTCTGCTTCCATTACTTTTGTTCCCCCACTATTTCCTCTTGTGTTTCCATCTTATTCTGCTCTTCCCTTTTCCGATCCCTCCGATGATCTTTGTGTTGCAGCTGTTGACCAGCTCATGAAGGAGTATTCTGATCTCTTTGAATTTGACCTATCGTCTGGGGCCAAGATTGCCACACGTCATCCCATTCCAACCGGGGATGCTCGTCCAATCAAGGTTCCTGTTCGTCGTCGGTCACCCAAGGAGATCAAGATTTTACGTGCAAACGTCAAGGAGATGTTGGAGAAGGGTGTTATTCGGAAGTCGCAGAGTCCTTGGGCATGTGAACCTCATCTTGTGACGAAGCCTGATGGGAGTATTCGTTTCTGCATCGACTATCGTCCGTTAAATGAAGTGACGATCCTGGACGTGTACCCTCTTCCTCACACTGCTGATCTTTTGGATCGTCTGGGGCGAAGTCGTTGGTTCACCAAGTTAGATCTTGCTTCTGGGTATTGGCAAGTACCGATGGCTGAAGAAGATATTCCTAAGACTGCTTTTCGTACACCATTTGGTTTGTACGAGTTTTTGGTGATGCCGTTTGGTTTGAACAATGCTCCAGCAACTTTTCAGCGGATGATGGATGAAGTTCTTTGCGATATGCCGGAGGTGACGGCTGACTTCATTGATGATGTCTTGATCCACTCGGAGGGGACGTAGGAGGAGCATGTTCGTGATGTTTGTAAAGTGTTGGATCGGCTACGCGACGTTGGTTTAAAGCTGAAGCGGTCGAAGTGCGTGTTTGGGTCCAAAGACACAACTTATCTTCGGTACCGTATTTCTCGTGAGGGTTTGCAAGTTGATCCTGACAAAATTGTGGCTGTTTTAAAGTTCCCTACTCCGAAGTGTGTGAATGATGTGCAGCGCTTTTTGGGTAAGGTGCAGTATCTCGGTCGTTTTGTGGATCATCTTTCCGATCGCACTACACCATTGCGAGCGTTGCTGAAGTCATCAACGTCATCTTTCATCTGGTCTCCCGATTGTGAGCGGGCGTTCGTGAATCTCAAAGAGCTATTGACGACTCCTCCGGTTTTGGCATATCCTGATTACACTCGACCTTTTATTTTGCGCGTGGATGCTTATGACATTGGTCTTGGAGGTGTGTTGATGCAAGAGAGCTCGAGTGTGCCTGGTCAGCGCCATCCCATTGCATACATAAGCCGTACATTACAACCAGCAGAGATGAACTACTCCACGACGGAGAAGGAGTGTTTAGCAGCAGTCTGGGGTTTCGAAAAACTTCATGCATATCTACATGGTTCTCGGACGTTACTTGAAGGTGACCATGCTGCTGTTACTTCATTATTGAAGCGGAAGAACCTGGTTGGTCGTACGGCTCGATGGGCTTTGAAGCTTCAGATATATGATTTCGATGTTGTTCATCGCCCAGGGAGTTCTATGGCTGATGCTGATGCCCTTTCTCGAGCTCCTCTTCCTTCACCACTCCATTCTCATGTTTCTGACGAACCTGTTGTTCCAGCATCTGTGGATTTTCTAAATGAGGATTCTGTGCTGTCGGCAGTTGCTATCCTTGACGTTCAGTGTCCACAGGGCGTAGAGCAAGATCTACCTTCTCTGGATGAGGTTCGCGAGGCTCAAAAGATTGAGCTGTGGATTCGAAGGCTTCGAGATGGGTTTGAGAATCCTGCATCACTTGCTGATGACTTGCCTTTTCGGCATTTACATTCTCAATATCGCCTTGAAGATGGCCTTCTTTCTTTTGTGGGGACGGATCCTGATGATCATTTACGGCTAGTGGTGCCTTCGGTGTTTATTCCGTGGTTTCTCTATGCCTACCATGATTCTCCTATTCTAGGTGGGCATATGGGACACCGTCGTGTCACCGAGAAGCTGCGCAGATCTTTCTATTGGCCAGAGATGCGACATGATATTATCCGGTATGTGCGTAGCTGCGTTTGGTGCCAAGCTCGTAATACTCCCCCTTGTGCTGCGGAAGGACGGTTGGAGTCAATTGCAGTTTCTTGTCCGTTTGAGTTGGTGGCGTTTGATCTTATGGGACCTTTTCTGCGATTGACTGCTGGCAATGAGTATGTTATTATTGCTTCTGACTACTTGACTCGTTGGGTGGAAGTTGGTGCTCTTGCTAGTGCCTCTGCAACTGCTGTTGGATACTTCCTCCTCAATCGAGTGGTGTTCCAGCATTCTTGTCCAGAGCGGATTCTTTCGGATAATGGTCCTGCATTTATGGCTGAGGTATTTCATGTTTTGACATCTCGGTTGGGGATACGCCACACTTTTACGAGTGCTTATCATCCACAATCAGACGGTCTGGTGGAACGGCTCGTTCGGACATTCAAAGGGATGATTGCGAAGTATGTGAATTTTCAACATTCGGATTGGGATGGTTATTTGCCGTCTCTTCGGTATGCCTATGTCACAGGGGTGTAGAGTTCTGTTAGTGCTTCACCATATAAACTTCTATATGGTCATGATTCAATATTACCAACAGAGCTGGGTTTACCTTCGCGATTGCCACGAGCTCCTAATGCTAGGTCATGGGATCAATATTTGACAAGCATTCTTCCACTTGTCCGAGCAGAGTCTGCTAAACACTTAGGCCGCGTACAAGTGGGACAACAACGGCACTACAATTCCCATCATCGTCCACTTGCGGAGTATAAAGTGGATGATTTGGTGTTAGTCCGTTTTCCCCATCTTACGGTACGTGGTTTTTCTAAGGGGCTCCTTGCGCAGTGGAAAGGACCGTATCGGGTGTTGCGGCAAGTTGGACCACAAGTTTATGAGGTTCGGCATAACGTTCAGCAGGCCGATCCTCCGGAGATTGTGCATGTGCAGCGGTTAAAACGCTTCATACAAAGGGATCAGGAGCAGTTAATACCGTCTACAGATCCACCGATGCCTCCTCCTGACGTTCCTCCAGATCCCGGCCCATCTATAAGAGAACCCTGACGGCCTTCCATTATTCCGAGAGGAAGGGATGATGTGAGGGCCAAGTGTACGGCTACGATGCCGTATACTAATATTAGCGTAGTGGATTTTGGTAGCCGTTGGATTGGTTTCAATCCGGACCACTCGCTCCTGTATATAAGCTAGGGTTTTTGGGCTAATTGATATGCACATTTCTGTATTCCCTTTCCATATTCCATGCACTCACAGTTTTGATTATATATTTTATATTTAATAAATAAATAATAATTTATTTTATATTTAGAAATATAGATTTAAACTGTAGTTCTCTATTTAGCACTAAACAGTTTAATCAATAAAATTAATAATAAAACTCTAGTGGAGTGAATGACAATTTACAGTTTTTCTAAATTATTTTCAACTAAAAAATATGAATTTTAATCATGATATTTATATGAATATTTTTACATTATTTTAAATTTTCTTATCAAGAAATAAATCATCATCTTCTTTCATGTTCTACCAAGAATAAAATTAAAAGTTAAAATCTTATAAAGTTTACTTTATATTATTTTTGTTAAGAGTTGTGCTTACCACAATTCTTCTGTTCTAGGTAAATATAATGAGCTCACCCTTTTCTTTTATCATTACAACGAAGTAAGAGAGATAGAACAATACTCAATTGATTACTCGACAAAGCTTGGGCATGGTACCGGTGGAACAATGAGAGAGGGGATAAATCTTGACACTATGGAGAAAGTCATTATCAAAGAGATGGTAGAGCATGCATATGCATGGGATGAGGTGGACTTGGTTGTGCATGTAAATTTTGCTGACACATATAAATCCTAACATTTTTGAGCCACTCAAGTTAGGTATATTCTATCATGTATGTATTAATCTTTTGGAACTGGACATTGATGCAATTTAGAGAGTCTTAGTAGTGTTACCTCATAGAGCTTATTATTAGAAAAAGAAAAAAATAATAAAATATTAAATAATCTAGTCCAACCCCAAGCTCATCCAAAAGTTTAATCTAGGTATAGGTCCATGCTAATTGAAAATACTCATCTATATGCATACTAAATCTTGAGTTCAAATCCTATAAGCAATTGTTTAGGCTTTAGTTTTTTCAAAATAAATAGTAGTGAATATGCTCCTTAATAAATACAAAGAGAGGCAAATATATACTTGTGAATTCTACAAATTTAATAGTTATTCATAAGACATTGATAGAGTATAAAATCCATTTTTTTTAGTGTATTCGGTGTTTGGGATCATAGGGAACAATGTTAGTTTCATAAGTTATGAATGGGTAATAAAGGATGAACATGACATTTAGGTGATATTTATTATAGTTTCATTTTGATATGCTTTTAATCATGGATTCACATGCTATTCATATGCATAAATTTGTAGCATATCTGAAAGAACACATAAACATAAACTTTACTTAAATAATAGACTAGTAAATTCATTGTTTACTTTGAATTTTTACAATAAATAAAATGCTAAATGATTTGAGAGCATTAAAGCAAAAGATACTCAAGGAAGTGGATCAAGTTAATGAATTAGAAATTAATTTTACTACTAATGAATAAAATAAAAAATAAATAAAAAATAAAAATAAAAATAAAAAATAAATAAATAAATAAATAAATAAATAAAAATAAAAAATGGCCCCAGCGAGGTTCGAACTCGCGGCCTTCTGCGTGTAAAGCAGACGTGATAACCACTACACCATGGGACCAGCTCGCTTAAAGTCTGGGTTCCGGTAGATCTTTTCCTGTATTCTCTTTAGGTACATTTTGGAAAGAATGCAGTGTGTGTGTGATTCTAGGCGCTCTTGATCGGCAACGCATTTCCCCGGATAAAGGACCGAAAGAGCAGCAAGGCGCGCTCCGGCTGGGCATAGGGAACCATATGGGCCGCTCCTCGTATTGTCGCGTATGTCAAGTTGCCATAGCTTTGAGTCCATCCAGCTACCTGCAAGGGAATTTTTCAGTTTCTGCTCCTCTTTCCTTTTCTTTCATCGATCTCTATGGTTTTTTATACCTGACCACCTTGGTACCATGCCGTGTATGGTTGTGTGGTTTGCATTCCCAGCGATTTTGCCAGGCCTCCAATGAGTGATCTCGTCCCTGTCAAAGGGACTACGGAGTCCTGGTCTCCACTGTTACAAAGCACACGCGGTAAGCTTCAAACTCTTTCGTTTTCTGAATGGGAAGAACTTTTTGAGCTCCACTTGCGTACCTGAAGATCCAAACGCGGAGTCCCGCTTTGAGGATGTCTCCAAGAAGAGGTACCATGTTTGTGCTTCCGTCTTGCATTGCGTAGTCCACAGGCCTGTTTCACGGGAAATGGCAAAAGTCTTTTCGTTAAGTTTCGAAACTTTGGTAGCGTTGTTCTTTTGATTACCCTGTGCACATACTCCACGAGTATGAAAGTCCAGTTGTGTTCGCGTGGAGTTCTCTTTGCACCTCTGGAAGGTTGAAGTAGACGTCCCTCTCCTTGTCGATGCATATGTCCACTCCATAGCTTTTCTGAGCCATCTGTTTCCACGGTTCTTTCATCGTTTTAGGAGGAACAGAGAGGCTTTTACCTGTTGCTTGAGCCTCACTTCCTGCAAGAAGATTGATGGAAGGCAGACGTCGAGTATGACGTCGTAATTGTTGATGAATCTTCCAACTTCGGTGTTGGACTGGAGGATGCCGTCGTTGCATGCGTTGGAAACGTTGTGGTCCGCGAGCCCGAGCTCATAGTCTTCGAATTTGCAGGAGTTGGAAAGCGCCTGGAATGTTTCGTCCGAGATGAGCCCGTGCGACCAAAAGTACTCGTACATCGCTGATGTATCCACGGCCAAGTTGAGGAGCGGATTGCCAATCTGCTCCAGTCGACTCAACCGTCAAGGTCAGCTCGTGCCTATCTAGATTCACTAACTTACGGCCACTCCTTTCAATCTGAAAGCGTAGTTTCCAGGGACTTGGCTGTGCTTGATGATCAACTCGGCCAGCTGAGGAACGTAGTGCCCTGTATCAACCAGGAAACTGAGAGCTCTTGTAAGAACGCTCGTCGGAAATGGGCGAAAGCTTTGGACCTGCGTAGCTCTCGCCGGTGATGTAGAAATCTCTCGTCTGGTACTCGGGAAACTTGTCCATCCAACCGAGAAGAAAATTTAGCGTGTCCACGGCTGCAACCACGAGGTAAGTTTCTGATGTTCTAAGTAGCTCTAGTTACCTGTTATCCTGTCCGTGACTTGCTCATAGTCGGAACTTTTGTTGGAATAGGACCAGCCGACTCCAGCAGGCGCTTCGAGGAAGAGCATATTGGACACTGGATCGAAGAAAGAGGGGTTAAAGCACCGATCGAAAATGCAGGTTTGCACCTTTGTTCCACGCTTGTCGATTTACTAACAGCCCTTGTCCAGAAGCATTGGGATAGAAGGGTCCAAGCTCCGTAAATGCTCCTCCACCAATCGAGGAACAACCAGGCCCTGCCGATCGAGTAAGAACCAGAGTTAAACTTCTCTCAGTCGAGACTTGAGACAAGACAATGCTGTTTTTCTTTCTTTTTTGTTCCAGAATCGATGCAGAAGAAACTCTAGACAGGCATGGTTACCTCCATTTAGCCAGAGGGTCAAAGGCTGCGAGCTGGCTCTCGTTTCGGCCTCTGCGAAGTAGTAGAACAAGGCACGGCCGGCGTTCTTGTCAACAGTCACGTAACCGGCGTACTGCTTAAACGAAACGTGCGGCTGCCCGGGCAATCTCGACACTAATTCACTCTCGGGTGCGCCTTTCACCTGGACAAGCACAAGCAGCGCTATCACGAGCAGGAGCAGCACAAGGCGGCTCATCACAAAGATCCTTCTCGTGCTCGGCCGCCACTCATTCACTCACTGCTGCTGGCGGCTCACGGACGGGATTCAGGAAAACAAGAGAGAGAGAGAGAGAGAGAGCAGAAACTGGGGGAAGAAGAAGCACGAGTTTTAGCAGGGAACAGTGGTGGTGACATGGAGGGGTGGTGCTGGCTTGATCATGCTCGGAATTGCGTGCTGGCTGTCAAGACATGTGATGGAGCGACAGACCCGGAGACGAAGTTGGATCGCCGGGAGGTGAGATGCGAACAAGACGACGATGGCGAAGACGAGGAGAGGACGTTCCATCTTGACATGATATGCGAAGAACGAGGTAGGGAGCAGGATCGAACAAGTCAAGACGAGCAGCAACTTCTGGAAAACAAAATGGAGGGGAATAACAAGGCAGGGGTCAAGGAGGTGCGACTTGCGTACACACACATATATTGTCTTGTCGTCCCGACGAGCGAGAACAGTAATGCAAATATCAGAGCAGAAAGAAGAAAAAGAGTGGGAGCTCCACTGTGGTTTGAAAGCGCGGTCCAGGCTGAAAAGACACACTCTCTCTCTTGCTGGTGAGTGAGATCTCAATACATCCTCTCTTTTTTCCTTTGCTGCTCGTAATCGTCATGGTTGTTTTTTTGTTTTTTTGTTTTTTTTTCCCTTGTGTGTGCGCGTCTAACTTGCGCTTCATTCGAGCTGTGCGACGATCCAATCCTTGGACCAGGTAAGCGAGGCTCTGTTTTCTAATCGCAGTCTCTTGTTGAGCTTTCTTTTTGTAAGGCATCACGGCACACAGCGCATGGGACGTAATTTAATAGCGCACAGAAGTGCAAGCAGTGGCTCGCGGAATAAAAATATGTAGGCGAAGCTGTTACGGGAGCAGCAGACACGCACACAGAGGTTTGCTCAGTTTTATTAAACCAGCGTACTTAGTTTTTGTTTGCGAGGTAAGCTGTCTTGCTCGTTCGTGAACATGGAAAAACGCTAACTGGAGAGACGCTTACAGTAAGTAGCTCTGCGTCTTTCTTCGATCGATTGCAGCGCAGCAGGCAACACCAAACATGATATGTTTCGTCCCAGGGTGGACAAAGCCAAGCGTCCTGGAATCGGAATTCAATAGCGCCTGAAGAATTATGGCCTTTGTCACTGTAAGAAGCAGCACTCGTTACCAGGAGGCAAGCCAGCCAGATACAGCGGAGAGCACCGACTGATAAAATCTTTTGGCCTGCACAGTGCACACAACTCAGCTACTTATGGCCGCTATTCGCAACAAAGTGCTCAACCCGAAAGAGAAAAAAAGGGGAAAAAGAGACGACGAAAAGAAACATATCTCCTCGCTCGGGGTGAGTTTTTCATGATATATATATATGCTCTTTTCTTCCTCGTTGTTTATTCGGCCTCTGTCATGTAGCTCGCCTGCTTGATCCTGCTCGTCGTCTCGTTCGGCTGTCAAATTTGGTTTTCAGATCCGTGGGCCTTCCCTGTTCCTCCAGGACTGGAAGTACTCCCTCCTCCTTGTCAAGGTATGGCACCTTAGATTTCTGCTATCATTCCAGGCATACAGGCTCTGATATGCCAAATCATCGTACCGCTTTGCCTGGAGTTCTATATTCTCTCCTCCGACCTTTTGGTCTCATAATAAGTGCTTGGAAACAAAGCTTTGCATGGGTGACTGCTCCTTGCTGCCTCCTTCTAGAGAGAACAAAAAGCCTTAGAAAAACAAAAGGAAAAAAGCAATGGCTTCTAACTCTACCTTTGTGTTTGCATTTGCAGGCGGAGATGCTCTGGTTCCCCCCCAGTGATTATTCTAAGCGACTCTCCTCGGCTTTCGAGGAGGTGGACGTATTCGCTTGGCATGCGTGTAAGGGGTGGGTGAGTGAGCAATTATCTTTTAACGCTTGCTAGAGCTTTGCGCGAAGGCATGCGTACTTTGGGCTTTTCTAATAAGTGTGCCACATCCATCTTCTAGCAAAATCTATCGCTGCGAAGTGACCCCTTTGGGTGATGCAAGCAATGCGAGGGGGGACTAAACTACTTTGGGTTTGCCCGGCTCGCATTGTCAATCGCCCAGGAATATTTGGTTCTCGAGCTTTTGCTCCAAGTCAAAGGTGCGCTGTGCGTTTTATATCTTTGTTTCGCGTTACTAGAGACTCGTGGTCAGATCGATGCCAGACTCTCTTTCGTTTACTTGGAAGAAGTCCTCCATTTCTTTGCAAAGATGAGAAGATGGGCAGATTACTTGGAAGAATTCTGTGATCTCAAGTATATGGAGGAACAGTGGAAAAAAGTTGGCGAGCTTGCTAGTCTTGCGAGCTCTGGGGCCAATCCCGCGACGGAGCGCCAGGAAAATGGTGTGGCGTCATGAAAGGGTGCTCGGCCAGGTCGCCGGACAAGCTCTGGTGGTGGCGATGGCGAAGAGCGTGAGGATGATCCTCGTGGTGGGTGTCGAAGTGATGGACGCGCCGGGGATGATGATCGCTCGTGGATCCCGGATAGATCTCAAACTGCTGCTGCGCATAGCTGCCGCTATCCAGATTCAATCGCAGCCCAAATTCGTCCTCGTAAGGAGTGCGAGGCGCCAAAGATTGCTGCCTAGAGCGCTTGAGGCGAGACGAGGATGGAGGAGGCGATGGCGATGACCTCTCGGGGATCTTCTCCTCCTCGGGAGGGAGATCGTGGTCCTGGCCGCTGCTGCTACTGCTGTTCTTGTCGGCGGCGAGGCAGGCAACGATCTCGTCCTGCCACATTGTCGACAGCAGCGCGACCGTCATGTCGTCGTCCTCGTCCTCCTGCCGCCGCAGCGCCGCCAGCCGGCTATGGAGGAAGGAGCTCGAATCGCTGCCCAGGAGCGCTTGATCGTCCTCGTAGGGAAACAAGAGCTCTGGATCCAAGAAATGTAGGCGCTAAGGCAATCCAAATGTGGGCGAGCGACTCACCTTTGCAGAGCCCCACCGACGCCGATGCCATCACCGCGTACGCCGCCAGGTTCTCCATCGCTCCTCTCCCCTGTTTTTAGGGTTCTTGAGATAATTGGGGTTGTAATACTTTTATTTAAATAGTGTGGAGATTATAATGCAGTTAACTTGATGGGTTGTCACGTCCCAGTCATACCAATGAAGTTTGCCATTTTATTTTTATTTTTATGTTTTTCTAAAACGTGATAAAAGATTTTGATCGACGCACAATTTTACACGAATGGCTTGAGCATCGATGCTTAGCTATCTACAAGGCTTAGCATCTTCTCCGCTAGCGATTTGAGCGACCTCTTTTTCCTCTCTGGATCGGCAAAGGCAGGCTCGAGGTTGGAGTAAACGTCCCAGAGAATGACGCAGCACTCGGTGCCCATCCACTCCTTGAGTTGATCTTGCAGCGCCTCCGTCTTGGGGAGTATGTCTCCCACGAGCAGCAACAAGAACTCGGCGCATTTCGTCCTGGAACAGCCAAGAAATTGTTGCGTTTTAGGAAGGAGAGGAAGCTTTTCGATCACCTGAGTGCGACGTCGACATGGCGATTCTTTAGCGAGTCGCAGATCTTTGAAACACCTCGGTAGTATTCGAATTCCTGCGAACCAAGAGAGTGTTTGCGTGCCAATCTTAGAGAAGAACGTACTTTTTGATTGGCAGGAGAATCCAGCAACAGTGCCAAGAGCGCGTCCAGGCAAGCCGTGCGCTCCGGGATCCCAGTCGCCGATAGCAGATCAAGCAGCTCCTGGAACAAGAAAAGGAGCTCTTCTTGACAGGTAAAGTTGGTGCTTTTCATCGCTCACCTTGACGGCCATGTGGTGAGCCGCGGCCGCTTTGCTCGAGTTGTCGACGAGGCAGCATCCCTCAAGAACGCGAAGAGCGAGGACGATCTCCGCAGGGGTGGGAGGATTCGAGACTTCTGCCGCTTCTTCCGAGGAGTTAAACACCGGTGGCGCGCTCGCTGGTGATTTTTGCGGTGCCAATGTGTGCTTGAACAACGCCGGTATCACTACACCAAAGATCACAAAAGAATCTTAGAACTTTCGCTCATGAGATCGTTGATCCACGCAAGCAAACAACGATTCTAGGAAAGGAAAGAAATTCATAGCATCCACCAACCAGAGCAATCGAATTTACTCCAAACACATTCTCACCTTGGAGTTCTTGATAGCTCTGGCTCTCCCGGAAGAGCTCCACACCCCTCTCGGACGCAGCGGCGAGCATCAGGAATGCGAGCAGACGGCGAAGGCCCTTGACCCTGGCGAAGGAGAAATTGGCCTTCACATCACGCAGCGCCTCGCGCAGCCGCAGCGCAACCTCGCGCCGCTGACGCTGCGCCACCAGCGATTCCACCAGCTCCGCCACCACATTGCACGCCGATTGCTGCGGCGAGGAGGTGGATGCCGAGGCAGCAGCAAACTCCTCGGCCCAGCCTGGGCGACAGAGAAACATCAAAGAACCCTAATCTCGTCATTTGGGGAAAAAAGCCCAAGAACCCTAATCTCATTGTCGTCCGTACAAAAATATTCACACGCTTCTTTAGTGCTGTTTGTTCCTGGGGATTCGTAAATCCGTCTCTGGCCGTCTGCAAATCTTTTTAAGTGGCACAACTTCCTGCGAGAAAAAAAGAAAAGAAAATTCCGATGATTGTAAATGAGAGCTTAGACTGATGTTACCTCTGATTGATCGTGATCATAGCGGACCCAAAATCGACACCGGCAGCCTCTTAAGTCGTGCCTCCGTCTCTGGATGTCCAGAACCGTGGCATCGTAGTACAAGGCTTGCTCGTTTCCTTCCTGTTGAGAAACGAAGAAGTTAACAAAGAAAACAAAGTTTTGCATTTCCTCTACCTGGAAGCATAAGATGAGATCTCCCGGAAGGACAACCATGCACTCCACAACGTCACACGGCATAGAGCGCTGCCGGACTGATGTCTTCACGTCCACCCATTCGTCTTCCTCGGATCCAAACCCAACAAAACGAACACGGACCTCCTGAGAAGTTGGATCAATCAGTACAAACAAAATGTGGAGCAAAAGAGTAAAACTTTCTGCCTTACGTGCTCAGAGGCTTCTATACGATGTGCCAGAAACAATGATACATCATACCTGGAAGAGGTCTTAGTAACGGAGTTTATAAACTCATACATTCTTACCAGGCACCGTCACGAGAAGATTTGGCTTCGAAGTCCATCTCTTTCTCGACTTCTGTGAGATCCCGACGTGTAAGAAGCGGGATGGAAGAGAACTTAAAACAAACCTGGCGGCGGAGCGTACATGTATTGCATGGGACTTGCGGCGTTCGCCAAAGGCGAGGGAGTAAAGCCTCTACCGCTGTCTTGGTGCTGCTGTTGCTGCTGCATTTGGAGGATTTTCTTCGCCTTTTGCGAGTGCCTCCTGTTCTGGAACCAATTCAAGACCTGGAAAAGAAGCACAAATAAGGTGAGGAGCATTATCAGAAGAGGCCAAACTTTGAGGACTATTTGTATACACGAGAAGAGAAACAGAAAAAGCGTCTAGCCGGACGAACCTGTTTCCCTGTTATTGGAAGTTGCCCAGCCCGTTCTGGAGTATTGCTGAGAGAAAAAACGAAAGAAAAGAACGAAGAATTCAGTGAAGGTAAAACGATGTCAAACTTTGAGGAAACACGTACGTGAAAGCCTCCGCGAGGTCGTCACATTCCGGCCTTGGCAACGCTATGTTGTTGTTAGCTTCCAGCGCCCTCTCCATTTGAGCGACCTACAAAGAATTCACACGCCATAGAATGCAGCGCAGGAATCCTTTCCATCGATCCATACCTCCTGTGGAAGAAATCGAAACACCGGCACGCCGGCGGCTTGAGGCGGGCGCCCCATCTCTAGCTCCTCCTCGTTCCACTCTCTTGCCCTAGAAACAGAGGAAAATTACCCCTATTTGATTTAAACGGCCTGATGGCATACACGTGTCAGTCACGGCAGCCGTCCATTTCAACAAGTTTTTTTTTTCGTCTTTGGGGAGAAATGATGCTTGTTGTCCACGACCAAGACCTAATGAAGGCGCCGCGGCATTGGAGCTTGGCGATGGGCGTTTCCTCCGGCGCGCGCTAGACGAGGGCGAGGATTTGGCCCTCTTGGGGCTGCCATAGGAAATGCCGGTGTCGATTCCAGGGCGCGGTAGCATCAGCAGCAGCAATAGCGCCAGGGATTAGGGTAAGCATTCCATGGGCGCCCTCCAAGATTTGCTACTGTGTAGAACTGCTTGAACCGGCATTGCCTCCCTTGCAAGTTTGCTTCTTTTCTTCTCAGTTTCTTTTTGTGCGCCTCTTCTCTTTGCCAGATCGGCTGATTGGTTCTTTGGTTGCTATAGCAGGTTGTAGCTGGAAAAGAAAGATTAGAGCATAGAGAAGGGCTTCAACAGGTCGCATTGGGCTGAAGAATGTGCATACTGTGCGCTGGAGCAAAGTTTTCGCGACGCATCGTCGCCATGCTACCATGGTTGATCATCCCTTTCGTCATCGTTTGGGCCTTCTCGCAGTTCCTGCCACCCGGCTACCGCTTCGAGATCACGTCCACGAGGCTGGCATGCGTGGGAGTGCTTCTGAGCAGCCTCTTTTGGTACGAGTTCGTCGTCCCCAATCTCTCGCAGTGGCGGGATAGGAGAGCGATCCTTCTCCGCGAGAGGCAGCGTATAGAGGCACAGAAGGCCGCAAGGTGGCGAAAGGAGGCGACCAAGCACTGCCGGAATTGCCACACTCCTTACCGCGACCAGACTCCACAGGCGAGTGGCAAGTATATGTGCACCAACTGTGGCCACGCCTCGAAGAAGCCCGAGCTACACGTCCCCGGGGATCCTCGGCCCAGGGACTTAAAGTTGATCGACCACTCGACGTGTTGGAGATCGCTCTGGGAGGAGCTGGACAAGCAGAGATTTTTCCATCTGGTGCATAGGTGGGTGGCGCTGGCAGGGAAGCTTTTGGCCTGGTTGTGGAAGCAGTTTTGCCGGCAGGATGGCTCCAGGGATGGCTCGCAGGGTCGACAGCAGAACGCGAAGGAGATAGACGAGACGGAGGAGAAGAGAGGAAGGGCGAGGAGGAAGGCGGAGGAGAAGCGTCTAGCGAGACTAGAGAGGGAGAAGAAGGAGGAGGAGGAAAGGAGGGACAGGGAGGAGTTTAAGAAACTCGTAGACGAGAGGAGCAAACTTCGTGCTGAGCTACTTGAGGCCGAGAATGCGAGTAAGAGAGAAGCCGCTGCCGAGAGGGAACGTGAGTTGAGGAGGGATAGAGAGGCTGAGAAGAAGAGGCAGGAGAAAACTAAGGCGTCGCCCAAGGAGAAGGAGTTGGCCAGCGACAAGAGTGTTGGTGGTAGTAGTCCTGGTAGTAGTACAGAAGAGGCACGGACTAGGATTGAAAAGGTGGGATATTTTGGCAGGAGGAGGGGTTACAGCTACTTCAGCGACTATAGGAACTCTAGAGCAAGCTCCAGCTCTGGTGGAACCCCTCTCGGAAAGCACCAGAACTTAAGTTCGACAAAGATTAGGACGAACGCGCCAGCGAAGTCGACTAGTGCGGCTCCGCCTAAGGAGGTGGCGCCCCCCGGGACTTCGATGAGCTGGTCCAAAGCCTTGTGTGGAGCAGCCAACACCAAAGTGGAAGCCTGCAGCGCTTCCTCGGAGGTGCTTTCTTATCTTTCTCCAGTGGATGTTGCTAACTTTAACTTACAGGCTTTTCCAAAACCACTGGCAAATGGTGGTTCATTCTTCTCAAAGAGTGCTGTTGCTGCTACAACCACAAGTTCGAAGCCGCAACCTCTATCACCCGAAATAACAGCAGCCCCTCCCTGTCAAGAAGCTAGCGGCTCGACTCCAGTGTCCACCGATCCCATTTACTTCCCAGGTACCGCTCCAGTACTTCCTCCCATCTCTGCTCCACAGCATAACACACTGACTAGCGAACCAGTCGCGTCTTCCACCTCCCTCTTCTCCTCGTTCTTCCCATCGACCACCGTCTTACCACCTCCGACTAGCATCGATGCTACTTATTCAGTCATGTCCCCGACACTGCTCTCGCCAGTCTCACGCTCAGTGTCGAGTGACTTTGCCTGGCCTGGCCCGTTCTCCCAGAAAACCGTGCGAGATCCTTGCATCCAGCTTCCAGAGGATATATGCCTGTCACCCTCGCTCGACACCAGCAGCTGGCTACCGCAGTACGATTACGAGGTGGACAACGTTCCTCCGGAGTTTTTGGATTGCATAACTCGTGATATCATGGTGGATCCGGTGACCACTGCTGACGGGCACTCGTATGATCGATCGACGATCAAAGCATGGCTGAAGTAAGTTCTTTTGTTTCCGAGCTTTTAACCAAAGTGGTTTTTTTTTGTTTGAGTAGGGAGCACAAAACTAGTCCGATCACTGGAATCGAGCTGCCTCCAGCTCCTCCTCCAGACAATGTGGATAGAACTCTTCGGCCGAATCACGTCCTCCGTTCCCAGATACTCGACTACAACGAGCGCAAAGCTCGAGAGTAAGTGCTCCTCGAGTTCCAAAGGCTTTGTTTGATCTTCTATAGTTCTTAAAAAAGAGAATTTTTGTTCTTGGCAGAAGGGCTAGTCGAGATGGATGGCCAGTGACGAGCCTCCCGAATCAGCAACACCAAATCTCTTGCGGTTTGTTTATTTCTCCGGGCTTACATTCTATGTGGTAAAAACGAAGTTAAGAAAGAAGAAATGAGAGCTTTTGCCCTTTACTCGCTGTCGGCTTTAGTGTTTAGGGCTAGGGTTTAGGAAATTAGGGCATCGCGAGGAGCTCCACGCGCGATGGGAAAGAAGGGGAAGAAGGTCGCGCCATCGCTGGACGATTATTGGAACGAGGAGTTGAACGGTGATGGTGAGGCTGTTGCTGGATCGACAACGGGAGCCTCGGTTGTGGCAGCTGCCGGCAACGACGAGGATTTGGTAATGGAGATGGATTTGAGCAAGAGCAAGAGAAACAAGAAGAAGGATGATTTAGTAGCTCCAGCGTTAGCTTTAGATAGAGATGACGAGGAGGAAGAAGAAGAGAAGCTGGATTTATCAGGCATGAAGAAGAAGAAGCCGAAGAAGAAGAAAGACAAGATTTTGGAGGAGGATACTCTTGCTCCTTCTCCTGCTTCTACTCCCCCGGACATTCCCTTGCTGGTGGACGAAGAAGAGGAGATGCTAGACTTGACAGCGGCGAAGAAGAAGAAAGCGAAGAAGAAGGACAAGAAGAAGATTCTCGACGACGATTATCCGGAAGTTGCTGCACAAGATTGGGAAGTACCTAGTACTGCTCAAGATGATTCTTCGAGAGCTGTCGCTGCTCCAGAGCCTGCTGCTGCTCCTACTGCCCCGGACATTCCCTCGCTGGCGGACGAAGAAGAGGAGATGCTAGACTTGACAGCGGCAAAGAAGAAAAAACCGAAGAAGAAGGACAAGAAGAAGATTCTCGACGACGATTATCCGGAAGTTGCTGCACAAGATTGGGAAGTACCTAGTGCTGCTCAAGATGATTCTTCGAGAGCTGTCGCTGCTCCAGAACCTACTGCTACTCCTGATGACGAGGAAGAGATGCTGGACTTGAATAAGAAAAAGAAGAAGAAGAAGAAACAGGACGACAGAAAGAAAACTTTTGAAGAAGAGCTTGCGGAGGCCGCGGCTGCAGCTGGTGTTCCAGAGAGTGAAGTACCTGCTGCTGCTGCTCCAGATGAGGAGGAAGACAAGCTAGACTTGACGGGGGCCAAGAAGAAGAAGTCGAAGAAGAAGAAACAGGGGGAGAAGAAGGCCGAGGAGACTGTCGAAGTGGCTGTACCAGATGTTGAAGGAGAGAAGGTGGATGCTGTGGATAATACCAAAGGAGAAGAGACGACGGAAGCCACTGGCAGTAGTAAAAAGAAAAAGAAGAAAGGTCCTTTGGAAACTCAAGAGGCGAAGCCAAAGGTGGTCGAGAAGAAGGTCCCGAAGCATATTCGGGAAATGCAAGAGCGACTTGCAAAAATCAAGGAGGAAGAAGAGCGCCGGAAGCGTGAGGAAGAAGAGAGGTTGCGGAAAGAGGAGGAAGAAAGGCTGAGACTCGAGGAGGAAGAGAGGTTAAGAGAAGAAGCGAAGCAGCGAAGAAAGCAACGTGAGAAGGAGAAAATCAAGGAAAAGAAAGCCAAGGGACTTTATCTCACTGGAAAACAGAAGATGGAAGCTCGTCGTCTGGCCATGATAAAGGAGCAGATTTTAGCAAGTAGTCCGGCGCTTGTTGGTGAAGAGCAGTCGCCAACTCCCAGGAAGCCGAAGTACGAGACGAAGAAGAAGAAAGTGGAAGTAGTAAGCTCGGAAGATGTGAAACCGGACGTTGAAGAAAGTGAAGCGGCTGCCGAGGTCCAAAGTGAAACGGCTACTGAGGCGCAAGAGAACGAGCCTGAAGTTGAGAATGAACCTGAAGGAGAGGGCCAGCTGGAAGAAGAAGCAGAAGAAGAGGAAGAAGAAGAAGACGAGGATGATGACTGGGAAGCTAAGAGTTGGGACGACGAATCCAAACTTCCAACCGTGAAGGATGCATTTGCAGACGAGGACGAGGAGGAAGAGGAACAGGTTGTTCCAGAAAAACTCGTGAAGGTTGCTCCGAAGGTTGAGGAAGTACCATCCCCACAGCCACCAAAGCAGCCAGCGATTTCAAGGGAAGCCAGGATGGCGGAAGCTCTCACAAAGCGCAGCGCTGACGATTTGCGATCTCCCATCTGCTGTATCCTCGGACACGTTGATACCGGCAAGACCAAGCTGCTCGACTGCATTCGTAGGACTAACGTCCAAGAAGGAGAAGCGGGTGGAATTACGCAGCAGATTGGAGCTACTTATTTTCCGATGGAAAACATACGAGAGAGAACCAAAGAGTTACCAGAAGCGGCCAACATGCGCGTTCCTGGCCTCCTGGTTATAGATACGCCTGGTCACGAGTCCTTTACAAATTTGCGTTCTCGAGGTTCCGGACTGTGCGATATTGCAATCTTGGTGATCGACATTATGCATGGGCTGGAGCCTCAAACGATCGAGTCCATAAACTTGCTAAGGATGAGAAAGACACCGTTCATTGTTGCTCTAAACAAGGTGCGTACTCCTCTGTTTTGTGTGTACCTTACCACTTGTTTATGCTCTAGTGCAGGTTGATCGTCTCTACCAATGGAAGCCCCGCAACAATGCTCCGATAAGAACCACTCTGCAAGAGCAGGAGCGCCATACGAAATCAGAATTTGAGACGAGAACCAAGCAGGTGACGTGGAAGTGTCATTCCTTAGTAGCAGTTTCCTTATCAAGCGGTATTTGCTTGTTGCAGATAATGGTGCAGCTCCAAGAACAGTCTCTTAACTCTGAGCTCTACTGGAAAAACAAAGACAAGAGAAAGGCCGTCAGCATAATTCCCACAAGCGCGATAAGGCATGCTTGCTGATTTTTCTTTCATTTTTTTTCTCTAGAATTCTCAAGTTTTCGTTTAGTGGCGAGGGCATACCTGATCTCCTGTACTTGCTAGTCCTGCTGACACAAGAGATGATGGAAAAGAAGCTTATGTATGTAAGCGAGGTCGAATGCACGGTGCTGGAAGTTAAGGTTGTAGAAGGACTTGGGACGACTATCGACGTCGTGTTGGTAAACGGCGTATTGCACGAAGGCGATCAGATCGTGGTCTGCGGGATGCAAGTACGTAGTCGAGTGCTTTCATTTCGGTTAAAAGCTTTACGACGTTCGGTTGCAGGGACCAATTGTGACAACTATCAGGGCACTGTTAACTCCTCATCCTATGAAAGAGCTCCGAGTGAAGGTTGGTTTAGCTCGACTGAGTAGAGGATCTTATCTTGTTGCTTTCAGGGATCATATCAGCATCACAAAGAGCTTAAAGCAGCCCAAGGAATAAAAATCACGGCGCAGGTTCGTTCTAATATTTCCTCATTGCGACTGTTCTTTTGCTAATGCTTTCCTCAGGGTCTCGAGCACGCGATAGCAGGAACACAACTCTATGTTGTGGGAGAAGACGAGGACGTGGAGACCATCAAAGAGGAGGCGATGAAGGACATGAAGAGCGTTATGGGTCGTATTGACAAGAGCGGGGAGGGAGTTTGCGTTCAGGCCTCGACACTGGGATCCTTGGAAGCCTTGCTCGAGTTCCTCAAAACTCCCGACGTCAACATTCCTGTGAGTGGCATCAGTATCGGTCCGGTTCACAAGAAAGACATCATGCGTGCAAGTGTGATGCTCGAGAGGAAGAAAGAATACGCTACAATACTTGCTTTCGACGTTAAGGTGACACCGGAAGCAAGAGAGCTGGCCGAGGAGCTGGGTGTGAAGATCTTCACGGCGGACATCATCTATCACTTGTTCGACCAGTTCACGGCCTATCTCAAGAACACAAGAGAGGAGAAAAGAAGGGATACAGCGGAGGAAGCCATATTTCCGTGCATCCTCAAGATCTTACCCAACTGTGTCTTCAACAAAAAAGATCCAATCATTGTCGGAGTGGTGGTTCTCGATGGCTTCGCAAAGGTACCTTTGTTTCTCCATCTTCTGTGAGATAATCGGTGTGCTTGTCTTTCACGCAGGTTGGAACGCCCATTTGTGTTCCAAGTAAAGACGGCGAGTTTATTGATCTGGGAAGAATCGCGTCGCTGGAAATCAATCACAAGGTGGTCGACGTTGCGAAGAAAGGCGAGGAGGTGGCCATGAAGGCAAGCTCAGGTTTTACTCTCTTTTCTTTTGCTCATAGTGTTGTCGTGCCACAGATCATGGGTGACGAGAACCAGAAGATGTTTGGAAGGCATTTTGACTACGACGATTTGCTGGTGAGCCACATCACACGAAGATCAATCGACGTTTTGAAAGAGAACTACCGGGTAGGATTTATGTTCCCAGCGAATCCTTGTTGTGTTTACGGCTATTTTGTGTTGCAGACTGAGCTTTCTAGCGAGGAGTGGAAACTCATAATGAAGCTCAAGGGCATTTTCAGGATCTTGTGACAACGGAACGAAATGTTTTGGCGAAGTAAGGCTTTGTCTAAGTTTAATTTGGTGGATTCACGTGAAACACAGATCTTGTTGTTGCTTTGTTTGTAGCCGCGAGCAAGAAATAATATCTCTGAGCGATCAAAAGTCGGGTTTTTTGTTTTCGCGTTGACAAAAACTCTGAAAGAGCGAGGTAACTTAGTTTCCGTCTCGTGAAGCTGTCGTTTACGCTATTTCCACATTTTACATGGATGAAATAAACTTAGCTATGATGAAATGGCCGGTGGAAGGCAATCGAGAGTCTAGAATTGCCATCACCGCCACCACGATCAGTGGAACTTAGCGTCATAGCACCACCGCAAGCAACTCCCTCAAAATCACAATCACAAGAAAAGCTTTTGCCGTGATTTTCACACCTTAAAGTCTGGCAGGGCGAGACTTTTTAAAGGCCACCTCCTCGAACTAACACAACAAGATTTTGTTTCACACCAAACACACACAACACTCATTAAAGCCACAGAGATTTTCCATAGATCCCCACAGTCAATTCGCGTCCACCCTACGCAACGCAACGAGCAAAGAAAACGATAGAGCTTTAAATTAGAACGGGCGTGGGGTGGTGGCAACAAAAGAGAACAAAAAATCCCGCCAAGAACCGGAAATGCGGCGCCCCTCATAACGCCAGCACCGCCGCGACCGCGAGCACGGCCGTGGCCCATGGCCACGGTACGGCGCTGGCGGCGCTCATAGGCCCCTCGGCCGGTCCATTGCCCGGGTTTCGTACGGCAGGGAGGGCGCCCGGTAGCGGCGACGGGGCTGGGCCATGGTGGCGGCCGACCGGCGGCTTCCGTACCACCACCAGGAGCTTCTGGCCCTGGCCGCAGTGGCCCGGCACTCCACAAACATAGAAATGCGGGCCCGTGGTGTCCAGATTGATGATGGTGTGCCCGTCCTGGAATGTGGCGATCGGATTGGCGGTGCTGCAAGCGATGAAATCCGCCTTGCTCACCGCCAGCACGTTGTGGAAATCCTTGGAGTAGTTGAACACTGCGAGAGATCAAAGCCCCGGATCGGTCATTGTTCGATCAGGCAATGGCATAGCGAGAAGAGGGAAGCCGATCGAGCAGAGGAATGAGATCGAGAGATTCTGGAGAATGGAGGAGAAGAATCTTACCGAGAGTGTCGCCGAGATGGTATCTGTTGCCGAGCGTCCACTGTGTGTAATTGACATGGCCGAACGAGGGCAAGGTCCAGCCAGCGCTGCCCCCTACCACGAACTGGACCGCCTCCGCGCGATCCTGGGAGGCGAGGAACAGCAGCGCGGATAGAAGCACAACGAGCGCCGAGGAGGAGGAAGAACGCCACGAAGACATTGCGCGCACTGCCACTTCCCTGCGTCTTACGCACGGCGGCGGATCCAGGCGATCGATTGATCGATCAATCAGCGCAGCTAGGAAATATCGTGGAGGAGAGAGCGCGCGATCGATCGCCTCGCGCGCGCGGCGGCGTCAAGAAAGTATCCCGCCTTCGTTAGGCCAAGAAGAAGAGACCTCCTACGGACATGAGAACTGGATTTAAATATAACGTCTTATGCGGCCAAGCGGTGGCCGGTTCGAATCCCTTCCCCGGCGCACATTCTTTTCCCCTCTTTTCTTCTCACGTTTTACCCAACTGCGTCTTTGTTTTGACGCAGGCATCTCCTCTTTAATGTCTCTTTGTTTTCATACCATTATGAATTTTCCACGCGTGGGACAAGCGAATTTTTTCTGTAAAGAGATTCGAACCCAATGCATTGCTGACGTGGAAACCGCTAGATTTTAGGGCTTCACAATATTTTAGGGCTCTTCGAGCTATAATTTCTATGATGATTTGCCTCAGGTGCTGGTTGGACTCATTAATCGAATGGATTGGGTCGCATTTGCTTGCGACGCGCAGTGTGTCATCGCGGGTACAGGTATTGGTACTTTGGTCCCCACGGATATGCCTGGAAAGCTTCCGAATATCTTTCAGCTTTTGGCGGTACAAAGGCGAGAGACTACTACAGTGGCTCCAGGAGCCGAATAAAAAGGCCTCTTCGTGACATTGTGAGATCAAAGGCATTCTTTTCTTCGCATTGCTGCTTGCTAGTTCCTTCTCGAGCTCGAGAAGATCTTTCTTTCTCTGCCTTTGCAACACTCGCGAGGGGAAAGAAATCATGCCGATTCTCACCATTAGCACCAACACAAGCGTGGATAGCAGCACCTCGTTCTACATTCTCCAGGAGGCCACAGCCGCGGTGGCCCGAGTTCTTGGCAAGCCCGAGAGTGTAAGCTCTGATCATGGATCGTTGCTCCCAGATTTCCTTGTCTAACTCTTTGTCGCTCAAACTTCTAGAGCATGATGGTGCTTTTGAATGATCGAGTTCCAATCCTCTTTGGGGGCAGCCGAGAAGCGGCGGCGTATGGCGAGCTCGTCTCCATCGGAGCGATCGCACCCGACTCGAATCGCAAAGTCAGCAAAGCTCTTGCTGGGATCCTCGAGTCCAGGCTCTCGGTGCCGCCTTCCAGGTTCTACATCAAGTTCTACGATGTCAAGGTGAGATTTTTATCATCTTTTGTCACTTCTCGAGCTTCTCTTCTGGAAATTGTCGTGATTTTTGGAGCAAACACTCTTTGATCTGGTCGTTTTCTCGATGATCCAGGGAAGCAATGTTGGATATAATGGATCCACATACTAAAGCATGAGACTAGTACTAAAATTGTATTAGTGATAATCGGGAATAAAACCTTTACCTTGCCGAGCAAATAAATGCGTGCCAACTGGCGTCCCAATTTTGTTTCTTGGTGTTTTCTCGTGGGTCTTCGTGGGAGTGGCGAGGGATCGATGGCGGCAGCTCGGATCTTGCCCAGATCGGCTAGGAATCGCTTCAATCCACGCCAGCCGCGATGGATGAGCGCTCTCTCCGGCAAGGAATCCGATGTCGCGATCGTTGGCGGGGGGATTGTAGGGCTAGCTACAGCGCGAGAGATCGTCTCGCGATTTCCCTGGGCGAGCGTCACAGTGGTGGAGAAGGAGAAGGATCTGGTCCCTCACCAGACGTCGCACAACAGGTGATCGATCATTCGATCGAAATATTTCTCTTTCCTGGGTTTTGATTGAGCTTGCAGTGTACAGTGGAGTGATTCATGCCGGGATTTACTACGAGCCCGGCAGCGCGATGGCGAAGCTGTGCGTGGATGGAGCTCGCCGTATGTACGAGTACTGCGAATCGAACAAGCTGCCGTATGAGAGGGTGGGCAAGCTGATCGTTGCCACTGCCGAGGAGGAGCTCCCCATTCTAAAGAATTTGTACGAGCGAGCTACTGCCAATAAGGTACAAGGCATAGAGTTGCTTGATGGACACCAGGTACAAGAGCTGGAACCCAACGTTCGCTGCCTCCAAGCTCTTCATTCGCCCAACACTGGCATTGTGGACTATGCTGCTGTAGGACGATCGTATGCTCGAGACTTTCTTCACAGTGGGAGGGGTGAAATTCACACCAAGTAAGTCGCCACCATTTCTTTCTTTCTTTCTTTTGCCTAGTTTCGTGACACTAGCTCGATCTTGGGCGTAGTTTTGAAGTGAAGAAGATCGATGCCGATGAGAACCGAGGTGTGGAACTTACAAGTCAGAGGAATGAGACTGTGAAGGCAAAGTGGCTCATCACTTGTGCCGGGCTCCATTCTGACTACGTAGCACGCTTGGCCGGTGGTGCGAAGGGACCGACTGTTCTTCCATTTCGTGGGAATTATCATGAGCTAAAGCCCGAGTACCGGAAGCTCGTCAAGCGCAATATCTATCCGGTACCCGATCCAAAGTAAGTATTTTGTGTTTTGTTTCTAGAGAATTGATCTCGAGCACCGAACAGGTTCCCCATGGTTGGCGTGCATTTGACACCTCGTGTTGATGGACGGGTGCTCATAGGCCCAAACTCGGCTCTAGCACTTTCGAAAGAAGGCTATGCATTTTGGAACTTGAACATCAAGGACGCGCTCACGTTTGCTGCTACCAAGGGCCTGTGGAAGCTTGTTCTTGGCAATCCCAAGATCGTTTTCCAAGAGATCTGGCGAGACATCAACATTAAAGCATTCGTCGGGGAGGCACAGAGGTATCAGAATCGTCAACAATGAATAGTTCACGAACTGTTGTTGCCGCAGATACTGCCCGAGTCTGAAAGTAGAACACACGACCAAAGGCTGGGCAGGAGTCCACGCCGTCGCCATCGACGACACAGGGAAAATCATCGGCGACTTTCTGTTCGAGAGCGGCAAAGCTGGTCGAGTTCTCAACGTAAGGAACGCTCCATCGCCGGCTTGCACCTCATCACTGGCAATCGCGACGACCGTCGTGGATCGGGCTGCTAGAGAATTCGACTGGAAGAACGAGGCGGACATTCTGGAACGAGAGCCACGATCCGCGAGCTCGGCTGGAGGATAGTAACTCCCTCGGCGCTTTGTGCAATAAGAACCAGCCAGCCGCGTTTCACGACAAAAGCCTAGAGACAAATCGACCGAGAGGGAAGAACATGGAAGAAACGGAAAACACCACCGCGCAACATGAAGTAGAAAGCTCCTCCAGCTGAAAGCGAGAGTGGACCCGCGAGAAGGACGTGGCCTGTCATACGTGACGTCGGAGCCAATTTAAAAGCGACACTTTCACAACTATCACCGTCGTGGCGAGCAGGAGTGAATTCATCTCTACGGACCAACAGGCAGAGCAAAGCGATCAAGCGGCGAGCAGGGCCACCGGTTTCCAAGTTCTAAGCTCCAAGAGATGAGGAACTCGTCGCCGCTGCTGCTGCTGCTTGTGTCACTGTGGATCCAAATCGCGTCCCAGCTCGTGGGAGCTTACACCACCTACATTGTCGGGGGCGACACTGGCTGGACCATCCCAACGGCGAGCAACACCATCGTGAATTACACCGCCTGGGCTTCCAGCTTGACAGCCTCGCTCGGAGATTCACTGGGTAAGCCTCTCTCAAGCTAGCTAGCGAGCACTAAAAGCAAAGTTCTCTTTTCTTTTCGGCAGTGTTTCGATATGATCCTAGCCACACTGTCGTCCAGACCAACAATCTGACGACTTACCAGTCGTGCGACGCCACCGCCGACGACGAGACGCTCCAGATCTGGTCCTCGAGCGGCTCCAGTACCGTGATGCTCACCACCACCGGCACCACGTACTTCTTTTGCTCCGCCGACGATGGCTCCCACTGCCGAGACTCGGGAATGAGATTCGCGATCCAGGTTAGCTTTGGCCAGGGACTGCCAGCCACGCCAAAGGCTGCGCCTTCTCCCCAGGATGGAAGTGACGACGGCGACGACTTAAACTTTCCCAACTTTGATAAGTTTGCTCCGCCACCACCGCCACCGGCGGACTCCTCCTCCGCCTCGCTTCGGTGCTTCCAGCTTGCGTGGGTTCTAGCCGCGGCGCTCGTGCTTGGCCGGCTTGCGTGACCTCTCTCTCACACACACTAGAGAACACAGGATTTAGAAACATCTGGGAACGCGGTGAAAAGAATTTGTAGAGTCGATTATATAACACGCAGCCTGATTTTTGGAGTGCATACCAAGTCCGAAAGAGATACTACTGCTATGTGCCAAGCAGGAATCCAAGCACAATGCCAAGGAGAGCGACCAGGAGGACTACCAGGACGGAGAATCCAGCGTTCTGTGCGGCCGATCGGTTCCTGTTTGCTGTCAAACTTTCCTGAAGAAACAAAGCTAAAGTCGCTGCAAGCAAGGCAAGTTTTATGTGTTACCAGTTCTTGCTGCAAGCGTTGGCTCAATGCAACAGCGGCGTTTCGTTCTTCCGAAACGGTTGTCAAAGCCGCATTTACCTGCAAATAAAGTGAGCTAGGACAACGAGGAAAATAAGGAATGACAGCTCAAACCTCTTGGATTTTCTCCTTCAGATAACCAGCCTGGAAGAACAAAGGAAGAACGTAAACAAAACTGAATCATACTGATAACACATACGTCATGAGAATTCGGCACAGCTCCATTGCTCGTTTCTTTCGCAGGGAACGCGAATGACACCCTCATCTTGGTCTCGAAGATCTCGTTCCCCAGGTCTTTTGTGAACTGCATCGCCATCAAAGCTGCGAAGAGAAAAATCGCCACTACTTACCATTTCCTGGTTGATGTCACTCGCCAGGAATTCATCCGGAGCAACAACACTTTGGATCAAAAACTTGTCTTTGCTCTGCCCGTCCACCGGTTTTCGATGTTGTGCTCGCATAGTAACTGCAACAAGTTTCTCTTATGGAAAGAGCCAACATTTTTATAGAGGGAGAGGATTACCACTAATTTCAAGAGCACTCCGTGGTTGGAGCACACCCGTGCTGGGACTTACACAAAAACTCTTGGGAGATGTTGTTTTAACCTGCAACAACAAACAAGAAATCCTCGATCAAACATTAACTATAACAACAAGCAAGAAATTCTCGATCAAACAAACACTAACAAGAAACAAGAAACTCTCGATCAAACAAAAACTAACAGCAAACAAGAAATTCGAGATCAAACGAAGAAGCTTGATACCTTGAAAGCAACATAATGCTTGGTGTCATTCCCCAGCTTAAGCTTGCACGACAATTGCCGATCCAACTCGACTGTTCATCGCAGCCGCCAAAAAAGAAACCTTCAGATCCAGTAACACAAGCGAAATTCCGCTAGATCCACTCACACGGGAACTGCAACTCGCGAGGCTCCACACGAAGAAGCCCCGCACCGTCGGTGGAAGCGCTCTCTACAGCCATGATCCGCAAACCCTAAAGCCAGCTGTCCAACCCCCAAATCCTTCACAAAACCCTAAAAAGTGTCAAATGCCACGTGGTCAGCGAGGGTTTTACCACTTCCACATATGGCGGGGTTGGTCTTTTAAAATCCAATTGCCACGGGTCAAACGGCGCCCCCGTTTTGTTTTGTTACTGTTTTTCTTTTCGCGATTGGTGCGTTGACATTTCACCCCGTCCCGTCCGGAACAGAAAAGTCAACGCCCAAGCAGCAGTCTTTTAGTTTTTTTTCTCGCGCCTGTTGGGCATCTCAACATTAATACAGCCGGAAAGAAGGACAAAGAAGCCCGCTATGGAGTTGACACGAAATTGCCAATGGCTGACTTTGGTAGCCCCGAGCGGCCTATGGTTGGGCTCGCGCGTAGGTCACGCACGGATGATGGATCATTGCTAGCTCCTGATGTAATCGCTCGTAAGTTGCCTCGAGATCTTTATTTGTCCTCGCCCTCTCCTCTCGCCGCTAGCGCTTTCAAAGCACAGCATGGAGAGTCTCGCCAAGCTCTATTATGGCGGCCTCGTCTTCTTCCTCCACCTCCATTCCTCCGCCGCGCAGAGCGTCGGCTCGGTCCCCAGAGGATTTCGCTTCAGCCCACCAGCAGGCGCTGGAGATTTCTCGGCCTTCCTCGTCAGCTCCAACAGGGACTTCGCCGCTGGCTTCTCGCGAGATCCAGCAGCAGGATACTTCGCGCTCGCCGTCGCTGGGATGAATGCCAATTCGCAGCCGCTCGACACCATCTGGATGGCCAACAGAGACGATCCCTTCCGTGCTACCCCGGAGCTCCTCTTCTCCGGCTCCCTCCTTGTCACCATCCACCAAAACGTCCAGTGGAATTCCTCGTCATCCACCACTAGTCCGTCCTCCTCCTCGAGCGGAGACTTTCTCGAGCTCTTGGATTCCGGGAACTTGAGAGTCGTTTCTCGATCGTCGTCGTCTAGTCCTCCAAGCGATGATCAAGCTGGCGTGGTGTGGCAGAGCTTCGATCACCCAACAGACACGCTGCTCCAGGGCCAGAACTTCACCCAGGCCATGCGGCTCGTCTCCTCCATCTCCAACCAAGATCCACGCTCTGGATCCTACTCGCTCCAGCTCCAGGGAGATCGGATACTCCTCCTGGCAGGCTCCGAGCCATACTGGACCGAGGCCGCGCTCAAAGAGCACGAGAATGGTTCCGGATCCACCATCTACATGCGAATCCAGCCCGACGGCTACATCGGCCTCTACCAGAGCGAGCAAACTCGCGTCCACTTCGTGCCATTCTCGAGCTTGAACAGGGCGTCCACGAATTTCACCCGGCGAGCTCGCCTGGGTCCCGATGGAAACCTCCGCGTTTACTACTGGCAGGGCGGCCGGATGGTGGAAGACTATGCTGCTCTCCGAGATCCCTGTGAGTTCCCGGATTCTTGCGGAAGCTATGGCATCTGTTCTTCCGAGCTCCAAAACAAGAGCTGCAAATGCCCGGTCGGGGTAACTGCAGATGGAAACTCCACCATCGCCTTCCTGCCTGTGGATTCGCGAGACGCCGCAAAAGGATGCCGGAGTGATGCCGCGGATGCCAATTCTTGCATGGAGACTCCGTCCAAGAACTCGTCAGAGGATGATTTCCTGATGATCCAGGGCGTGGACTACTTCGCGATCCGATTTGTCGTCGCGGCATTTGGTGTATCCACAGTGACCCTGGAGGAATGCCGCGCCTTGTGCCTCGGGAATTGCTCGTGCAAGGCCTTCTTCTTCCGGAACGATTCCAGCGTCTGCTTCCACACGGATTCCATCCGAAGCATGCTGCCCAGCTCCAACCCGCACAACCTGGGATTCATCCGGATCGCCAAGAGAGGCCGATCGCACCATACCTCGAGAGCCCTGCAAATCTCCATCCTCGTGCTGGCTGTGCTCTTGGCCATCGCCGCTTTGATCTTCGCCTGCTATTACCGCCGATCCAGACGAAGGGACGAGAACAAGGAAGAGGTGAATCACCACTCGGACGAAGAGGCCTTCTTGGAGACGATCTCAGGTCTTCCCAAGCGCTTCCCCTTCTCCGAGATCGAATCCGCCAAGAACACCCGGAGAATATCGGTCGTCCAGCTCCAGGGATGCTCGCCGCGGGAATTCCAGGCCGAGCTGGCCGCCATCGCTGGCCTGGGAAGCCACTCCAACCTGGTGGCGCTGCTCGGCTACTGCATCCACGGCAAGAAGCGCTACATCATCTACGACGGCAGCACCAGCGGCAGCCGATCGCTCGACGAAATCCTCAAGAACCCTGGATTGGAGCGCGCGGCCCTGGAATGGAGCGCCAAGAAGGAGATCCTGCTGGGAATCGCGAGAGGCCTCGCCTTCCTCCACGCCAATGGAGGCGTCCACGGCGATCTCGTCCCCGGCAATGTCCTCCTGGACCTGGAGCACGGCGGGAGCTCGAGCCCTAGGCTGGCGCGCTATGGCCTGGCCTCCCTCATGCGTCGGCCGCCCCCAAACCCCAGCGATGACGTGCGCGCGTTTGGCGCCATTGTCGCGGCGCTGCTCGACGGCGGCGATGGCGCGCCCGCGGAAGATCAACGGCTGCGCGAGATCTGGAAGTGTTGCGCCCAGCAAGAGGCCGTGCTGAGGCCGTCCATGGCCATGGTGGCCGAGACGCTCTCCTCTATTTTGCCGCCAAAGGCATCGTTTGGAATCCAAAGTTTAAATTAGAGTGGGTTGTGTTAAACTCGGACTAAACCTAGCAAGGATTAGGGCATAGGCGTGATTATAAACTTTCTATTTAAATTGTAGGGCATAGGCGCATTAACTTGTTGGGTTGTCTCGAAGTATAAGTCATATTCCAACCCTGTAAGTTTTGGTAAATTTTTGTTTTGATAGTACGGACATCACTAATGGTACGAACATGATGGTTTCATTTTTTTATTTAATAGTACGGACATCATGGTCTAAAACAAAACAGGTAACTGTTATTTTTGAAGGGGTAGTACCGACGTATTGTCCTAGGACAGTGAAATCGTCTTGTATCCCGCAGCGATGGAGTCTCTCACCGCGCACAGCACCGCCTGCGTCTTCTTGGCCTTGTCGTGCCACCCGCGCTCCACCGCGCCGCCACCGCGCTTGATCCCGGACACGATCCTCGCGAACTCGCGCACCATGGCCGCCTCCTGCGGCACCTCGTTGTCCACCACCACGTCCCGCGACTCCAGCCGCCACGTCAGATCCATGTCCGCGAACCCGGCATTGGACAGCACCCGGTACGCCGCCCGCGCGTCGCTGAAGGGTATGGCGAAGTCGTCGCACGCGAGCGCGCCCGTCGTGCCCTGCACCGTGACGTGCATTGTCATGAAGGCGTGGAAGGAGCAGCTAAATGTCGCCACTGTTGTCTCGCCCTCTTCCTGTTCGTCCTGTTCGTCCTGGCGATTCTTCTTTATCCACACCATCCTCGCGGAACAGGCGGTGATCACGCCGCTCTCGTTGATGGTGGCGTTGGGCAAGGCCGTCACGAGATCCGGGAGGCGGTAGTCGAGCGCCCACAAGATGGCGCGGATGCAGTACCAGCCGATATCGCCCAGCGCCCCCAGCTCGTCCAGCCCGGCTTTCACTCGGATATTGTTCTTGAGGAAGCCCGGGAAGAGGATTTGAGCCGGGAAGCTGAAAGTCGACCGGACCTGTGGAGTTAAAAAAGTCAAGAAAAAAATGAGTTTGGATCACGATGAATCAAAGATGGTGAAAAAAAAAACAAACAGAAGCAGCCAAATGAACGCTACAGCAAGCTCAAAAGATCTAAAGCACTGTAGCTCAAGAACACCTGGCATGGAAACAAGAAACGAAACAGAGAGAACTTTCGGAAGGAGAAAAGTACCTCTTTGATGTCCCCGAGGGCCTGCAAATCCTTGTGCATGCGCTCGGTCCGCGGGTGATGCATCCACATAGTCCCGTCCATGAGCTGCAGCCCCTTGCTCTCGCAGGCGTCCACCATCTTGTCCAGATCCTCGTTGTTGAGCGACAGTGGCTTCTCCAGCAGAATGTGCTTCCCCTTGGCAGCCGCTTTGAGCACCCATTCCAAATGGAGCCCCGTCGGCAGAGGAACGTAGACGGCGTCCACGGCGTCGTCGTCCAGGAGTTCATCGTAGCTGCCATAGACTTTAGCCGAAGAGGGGAATCCGTTGGCTTTGGCGAACTCCTGTGCCTTTTCCAGGGACCGGCTGGCAATCGCGTAGAGCTCAACCCCGGACCCTGCTAGTAGAATTGCTCTGGAAACCTTTCTGGCAATGCTTGCGCATCCCAGGATGCCGAGCTTCACAGCGGGATTGACAACCTCCCCCATAGCTGCTGCTGCTGTCTGGACCCCAGAAGTCGAAGATATATATATATATATACGATCGCTGACCCGGTGTTGACCCCCGGAAGAAAAAAATTGACCAGAGAAACGGAAAACTAGACTTATCTGTGCGACGGTGTTGGAGCGCTCGCCCGAGCGACGAGACTCGGAGCAAGGCTGCCTTGCAAGCACGGGGCGATGTCCAGAGGCACGAGACTGGTGCCGTCGAACACCAAGTTTACGCCCGGAAGAGGGACGTCTCCTACGTCCAGATCGTCGAGAGGGTCTGACTTGTTTGCAGAGGACGGCTCGCTTGGTGATTGATCGATTGGAGCAAGCGAGAAAGCTCTGCATGACAGAATTTAGTCGTGCCTGAAACACAGGCTATAGTTTTACACTACCTCAAGATATCTCCGTCGAAGCTCATCATGCTGGAATGCCTCCTCCTGCTGCGTGGGTTCTTCTTGGGCGACGGGCTATCAGGCTCCGCAAACGGGTTCCACCGGCTGCTAAAGTTGACAGTAAGCTCTGGCCTCCTGCCCGTCTCAGTCTTTTCTGCCGTATAAGCAAGCTTCGCCACTAGTCCATTTGCCTGGTACTCTCCAATAAAGTCATGAAGCATCTTCTTCAGCTGCTGCATTGCATCCTGGTGCTTCGGAAGCGAAAACAAGTGGAACAGCTCGCAAGAAACGGCACCCTCGCAGACAGCCTTGCACAGCTCGGTGTCGGAAAGAGGCACTCCGAACTCCACAGCCTGAGGGACCCAGCGCACACTGTCTTCGAGGCTTCCCACCCGCAGAAAACGAATGTATCCAACAGTCTTCAAGCTGAGCTCGTCTGCAGACTCCATATACGACTGGAGTGTCTCGTCGTCGCTGCCGCTAAGGTGACTCTTAAACCTGTCTTCGCTCAGCGGAAGTGGAACGTCCACCGTGACAGGAGAGGAGTCCGGCCCTTCTTGAAAAGGCTGCACGAGGACTGCTGAATGCCTCAGCACCGAATTCAAGCCATGCAAGAGAACTGCTCCCGGAATCATGGTCCCCTCCAAGCGGCCACCTATCCCAGCAAAAGTAGACCCGTCCCACGTCCACACTAAAGCCTTGCTGCAGCCTGCCAAAGGTGGTGGAAGCAATCGCAGTCGTAGGCCTCTTAGAAGAACGACAGACACGGGGCCACACTCGAAGACAGTGTACAGAAGCAGCTTCATCCACGGCGTCACGGCAGCTCGAGATGGAGGACCGAAGTGCACTGGACCCGCCGCGTTATACGAGGCAACTAGAGGTGGACAAGCCAGCGGGATCATAGAAACGACGAAGCTGTAGTCTCGCTGGAAGAGACGTTGAAGCGTGGCTGAGGCCAGACTTGCCAGGCTTTCACATCGAAGAACATCCACTCTGTAGTATTTCTTCCTTTTCCCCCGGACAATTCCTGCCAGCCCCGTGTCACTTGACAAGCTAAGCCTGTTGGCGGTCGTCCCTTGCCCGTTGATGAAGGAAAACTCTGACTCAAAGTCTGAAGCGTTCTCTAGCTCTCCATTAACAACCCCAGGACCTGCCTCCTCTAGCTCGTCGTCAGTGTCTGTAGCTGTTCCTCCGGACCTTAGACATTCCAATGCGTAACGAAGGCTTAAAGCATGGTCGACGAACTGCTGAAGCTCCCCCTCAAGCTTTGTACTTTCTAAAGATTTCAAGTCGCTGCAGAATTCAGCAATATTGCTGTCACCGAGCTTACCAGCCTCATATAGAGTCACCGCATGATTTTTCAGCCCTGCACACGTTCAGAAGCCGAGTAAATCGGAGATACACTAGCAAGGAGAATACCTGGTGAAAAAGATCCCATCATGAGGTACGATGTCATGTTTGCGTCTATTAAAAATGCAACTCGAATTCCGGACTTGGAACGGGGTTGGTCTCCTCCACCTCCGTCGTGTGACGGACTCTGACCTCCTGGACTTGTAAAGAAAGAAAGACCTTCGCCTTCGCTTCCAGGTGATCCGGGTTGATTGGAGTCATTCAATAGTGCTGCTGGATCGAGCATTTTAGTCGCCCATCCAAGGCGACAGGCAACCGAAACGGCAGCTTCTAGCTGATCCAGATCGACCTGTAATGTGGCTGCCAGTTCGGAAATAGTTGCGTGTTCACTTGAGGCAACGAAAACGGCATACAAAACTCTGTACAACACAAAACTAGACTCAAGACCACAAGAATCCTTATAACTTACTCCTCAATAGGATCCTCGTATGACTGTTCTCGATTGGAGACAAATCCTTCCAAGTTCGATACTGAAGAAAAATAATTCTTAGGACAAGAGGCTGCAAATGAAGAAAACAATAACCTTGAAAACGGTCATCTGGAAGCACCAGAATGTCGAAGTAGACGAGTCCCCTGCGATACAAACTCCGCACGACCTTCGGATCAAACTCGCAGTACAGTTTTATGTCCTCCTTACAAATCTTGTCGATCACGTACAGCTCCTCTGGAGACAATTTCTAAAAACAACAGTAAGCTCTCTAAGAAAGCAGCTAATAAAGAAACCATACCCGATACTCCTCCAGAGAAAGATTAACCACGCAAACAGTCCACCATGGTTCTATAGCAATATCCACCGGCACGGTCGGCAGCATATCTTTCACAATAGACTTGTTCATCTTCCACATAAACTTCTGCAAAAGTAGCAACGTGAAATATCTTTCGAAGAAAGTGAGGAACGTAATCACTAAAATACCTTTCCTCTAGACTTATTCATGGTATCTATAAACTCGTTTCTTCCTATCCCGGTCAATCTCAGAGCATCAGCCGCACTAAAATTGGGAATACTATCGTATGGTTTCTCTGATGATCGCAAAAAAAGAGAGGTAAAACCACTGCCACTACGAAAGAAGAAAATCCTTACCGTTTCTCATCACCTCGTAAAGCATATCGCAGTAGTATCGAAATGGAGAAACTCGCATGAGTCGGCATATGTTCTCGGAGAGGTGATACGGGAAAAGCTGTCCAGAGAAAGCAACATTGTGTGAGAAAAGAGTCTCTCAAATGATAACGTGAAGGTTGGAATGCACACCGCAAGGTTCTTACGTAGGTAGCGCATTAGATCGTCGTAGTACTCGCCTTCTCTACAGGCATTCCGAGCGTGGCATTCGCTCCACTTCAATCGCTTCTTGATGCAGTACTCTTTGATCCTGCGAGCCCAAGCTTAAAGCCTAAAACTGGAAAATAGAATCGATCGCTTACTTTCTGTGCCAGTCATCCTTGGAAGCCATGAAGAGCTTGAGACGCTTGGGAAGATTTTCCCATGTCACTTCCTCTTGGATAGCCTTGACTATGAGCTGCTCTTCCACATTCGTGGTGAGACGATTCATTGCGATCTGTGAGGAGAATCACGGTGAAAGCCCCGGCCAAGCATCAAAATATCATACCAGATCCGCGCGAAACGATCCTCGCCGCGATTTGGAAAGATCACGCGCGCGACACCGAGCTAGAGCGCATCAAAACGACGATCCATCCCAACAACTCGTTTGTAGGGTTTGGGGTTGAAAAGAAAACGCGCAGGTTTGACTATTTCGACCCGGAAAATGCCACCCGATTAACGGCCCAGATTTCCTGACAGTGGAATAAAAAAGAATTTTCCCGGTTTATGGAGTAATACATTCGTTGCGCTTGGCAGGATTCGAGCCCGCGCGTGAATTTCAAATGTCAAGAACGATTGGAAGCAAGGAGTGATCGTTTGCCTCTGGATCCAATCTCTAGGGTTCTTCTATCGATCGCCAGGAGCGGGAATGGCGAACTGGCGCATGATTTTGGAGCTCATGCTGCTGGCGGCGGCTTCCATGGGTATCGTCGCAGCGGCGCTAGCGCGCCTCCCGTTCTATGGCGACGGATGATGCCCGCTGCGATGCTTCCACGTCGGCAAATCGCATTTCGAGACGGTACGATCTACTCTCTAGCTACGGTATGGCATGGCGCTATACCCCTGTTTCTTCCCAAGGATCTCTCTGACTGGGAATTGACACAGTCACAGGCAGCACTCTCTCTTTCACGCTTCTCCTCACAGGAAGAACAGTGTGCTTCTTCGATCCATACGCTTTTTCTATCTTACCGTGCTCCCTCGGAGTCCTACCTAGGAGATCGGCGCATTTTCTTCTCTCTCCTGCAAATTGCTCCACTGCCACCACTGTCCTGAATCCTGATGATCTGCCACCGCTGAGCACTGTCACGCAGCCCGTATATCTTTTTGGGTGGCACCGATCCTCCTCCAGGATCGCTTGCTCGTCGTTTCCACCCATCCAGAGTCAAACGACAGCTTTGTCAATCGATGGAGCGATGGATCACTCGATCTGGCTATTGCTTTCTCTGGGTATTTACAGCGAGCGCGGAGCTCTTGCAAATTAATCAAATCCTATCTAAATGAATTGCCAGCACCCTTTTGGAAAGACCCACAAGCACGAAGAACACGAGAGAGAAAAGAGAAGACACCGAGAAGGAACAAGCTTTGCGATCGCTGGGTGGATCGATCAACACATTCCACTACGGAATGGGACGACGACAGGGAAGCTCCAGGGACTGCTCAGCAAGACGATCCCACACTGGCTCTCCTTGGTGGACAGGCCGATCATGGCCTGGATGTAAGCCCTTCGCAGCTTCTTGAGGAACTCGAGCGGCGAGAGCCAGCTCCATCGTACGCGGCTGCAAATCCGGAGCCTCATCCGCCGCCACCGGCTCCTCCTTCGCGCGTGGTAGCCCGCCGATCCCACCCGGAGAGGCACACGCCATGAATTGCTGCTGGACGATCGAGTGAACATCCTCCTCGTTTTCGACCGCTGGTGCTGCTGCTGTTCTTGAGCTCTTGAAACTTCCTCTCCTTTTTGTTCTTCTTCCTGCTCCTCCTCCTCCTCCTCCTCCTCCTCCTCTTCGATGTAGCTCTGGAACAAATCTACCGGATCGTCGCCCCCGATCTCCTCCTCCTCGTGGATCTCGTCCAGGCGATGGTATGGCAGCCGCGTGAGCTTGATCTTGCTGATGAATCTTCTGCCGCTAGCGAGACCGCTGCTGGCGCTGCTTGGAATGGAAGGCACGTCTGCTGCTGCTGCTGCTGCTGCTGCTGCTTGCGCTGCTCCTCTCCCCATTTTTATAGAAAGATGCGATCCGACTCACAAGAAAGAAGAGCAAACGAAGAAAGAAGAAGGGACAGTGTGCGTTAAATGCCTCTTGTCTCTTGGGATTTTTTTTCCCCCTCTTTCCTTTTCTCCTTGTGGGGGGCAAGAACTGGGGAGCTCTGCTACTGCACCCTTTTGAGACACTGCTCACTGATGCGGTGGACTAAAGTCTCCTGTCTGACTTTGAATTGAATTGGATTCCTGGAGAAGAAAGCAATACCACCATTCACTACACTCACTCAAATCACTCCTCCACTACTGCTGGCTGGGGAGATCTTTGCTTCTTCTTTGTTTCTTTTTTTCTCCTTTGTTTTCTTTCTTCCAAGAAGAAGGACAAACTTGCAATTAAAACCATGCACACACCACCAGCCTTCACAGTGTCCAAAGAGGCCACAGAGCTTTGTTGGCTGCCTGGCCCTTGAGCTGGGGCCGGGGCTGGGGATGCTCTTGCTCTACTGCTATTCTTCTACACTCCTGAGCTCTCTGGCCTCTTTGTTGGCGCTGGACTGTGAGGAAATCTCTGTGAGCGAGAGATTTTTAAAGGCTGTAAAGAGATTTTACAAATCTTCTCTAGACCACCACAAGCTTTGAATGGTCGATCATGAAATGCGTAACAAGGACCACTCACACACGGGGGGCTGTAAAGCAAAATGTTTTCTATGGTGAAAGGAAGTGGGATCTTAAAGAGCAGGGGGAAAAGGTGGGGAGAGTGATTGATCACGATCGATTTTGCGCTAACTTTCTATCGCGACAATACAAATACCGGCATGTTTCCTGTGACGAAAGCAAAGTTTGGGGCTCGCAGGAAAGAAAGAGCGAGGGAAGGAAAATGTCGATCCACCAACCAAAGTGGTGTTGTTGTGTGTGATGCCGAGACGATTGGATCGGGAATTCCGGAAGAACACGAACATTTCACTCTCTCTCTTTTTCTTTCAGTGGAGGAGATAAAGACGAATGCGAGGGATAAGAAGCAAGAAGAGTGCTAACATACGACTGGGACTAAACGACGGATCCAATTAGGTCGCCATAGCCACCACGTCCCTTTATTCACTCTTTCTCTCCCCACTCAATCAATGTGTAGGGAATTGGGGCTTGCTTGTTAGCACGGAGAAAAAGCCGACACAGCGAGATGAGTGACCCGTGGTGGACTGATCATACATACGTTTCTTTCTTGTCAATAGAGAGACCAGTGCGCATAGCCTATATACTAAAATCCCAGAACGAAGTACAAATCTTTTGGACGGACCCTTCGCCCCTCAAGCTTCGTGATTAACAATGGTAGATTTCACGGTAAAAGGTCGAGATTTCTATAGGCTCTCTGCCCTATGATCCTTCTCCAGGACCACAAGAAGAAAAAGTTGGCGGGAGCTAGAACGGGGCTACATTGGGTTTTCTGGGTGAGAGGACACAACATGCAAACACAAGCACGAGCCTTGCATGCCACCGCCCCTGCAAACGCTGGCGTGTACAACGGTGGCACGTAAGAACCCTAACCGACTCTTCATTTTTCTAGGTTTTGTGGAGATTTGCAAGATCAAGCTTGCATGGCTCGAGCGAGGGGATTTAGATTCGTATCCCGGCTGTGGGGGAGAGCTTGTGGAGTGAGACGCCCCAGGCTTATAAAACAGGCACCGCTTGGACTTCTCCCATGGGACGCTCCTAAACAATGGCGAGAGAAGGTTCCCGGTCAATGACTTGATGGATGAGCAACCAAGCATGGTCAGAGAAAATTCACGAAGAATTTTAATAGTCAAAGGCCCTTTGGAGCCATTTTGATCACCAAAAACGAGAGCTCTTTCTACAAAAGTGCATTGATCCATCGAAAGTGGTCAGCACAGAATGCAAGCTAAAAACCCTAAGCCCTAGGGCCGTTTTTGGGTACTCTAACGGCTGGGATGCTGCCACGTAGCCAAGATCATTTTTTAGGGTTCCTGGCGAGGGAAGCGAGCGCCAAAGCACCATGAGCAAGTCTGGGCAGCCGCCGGATCTCAAGAAGTAAGTGTAGAAGTTTTCCTCGGGCCACTGCTTGACTGATTTCTTTCTTTCGCCGGCGCTAGGTACATGGATTTGAAGCTTATGAGTGAGTATTCTCTTCTTCCCAGTCTTTCGTTATGGTTCTTTTCGTTTCCTTTGTTTCTAACAGTCAAGCTCAACGCAAACCGAGTTGTGGTGGGCGTGCTGAGAGGATTCGATCAGTTCATGAACCTCGTCCTGGACAACACCATGGAGATCAGTGGCAACGAGAGAACGGAGATTGGCATGGTGGTAAGTAGTAGCAAAACTCTGCGCTCGAGCTTTCGTCACACCTTTTTCTTTTTACTCTCGCAGGTGATCAGGGGAAACAGCGTCGCCATGATCGAAGCTCTGGAACCTGTGGCGCCGAGAGCGCAGTAGAGGTTTTTAGCTCTGGAATTTTGTTAAAACCTCTCGCAAGCAAAGAACCAAGAATTGTTTTCATCTTTGCTGTTGCAAAAAAAAAAACCGTAGATTCTTCTTACTTGGGTTTTCTAGTCTGCGACAAGCCGGCTCAGCGATTGGATGAGCTGCTTGAGGTTGTAGCGTGTTCCAGCGTCTCCTGTCAACCCACTTATGTCCTCGCTAATGCTCTGGACAAGATTCCAAAGGCGACAGAGATGAGATCCCTGTACTGTTCTAGAAATACAGAGCTTTTTCTTTACCTCGATGTGCTTCAAAGTTTTTGTTAATGTGGAGACCGACTGGCGAAGCAGCTCCGTGTTCTCTGGCGTCAAAACTGAGCTGTTGAGCTTTCTACAAGAAAAAACTGGATAAGCTTTAGTGGTGGCAGAGGAGAAAGAGAAAAAACCACTTTGGCACCTTAAATCTTCCCCGGCCTCCGCTGCAACTTTTGTCAGCTTCTCGAATTCTTTAAGAAGCCCACCATCTCTGATTTCCTTGATCAGAGGTTCCATGTCGCCAGCCATTGATTGAACCTGGGCCAGCATCACTTTGTTAGACAAAAATCCACACTTGGGACTAGGAAAACTGGGAAACCAATGCCTACCTTGGCGAGAAGAGGCTTGGCTTCTTCTACCGCCAGACTCATGCGCTCGCCAACGTCGTAAAGCCTCTTTACTCCTTGTGCATCAATCTGCTTCGCGAGTTTAGTGCATATCCCGACGAGTTCATCCAGACTGACACCTTGCTCGCCTCGAATGCTTTCCCGGTCGCAAACAATGAGGCCCTCGCCTTTGCAGTCTGGATGAAGGGGACCGACTGTCGGACTGGGAATGGGATGTTGCGGCGTGATATCAATCAGCGTCTCGCTCACCAAGCCCGACTGGTTCACTTCCACGAGCGCGTTGCGAGGGATCACCAGGTTTGCATCGACAATCTAAAGAGAAAAGATAAGAACCAAAGAAAACACCAAGGGAAAAAAAACGAGGAAGAGAAATACCTGGACTTCCACGTCGAGCTTCTCCAAAGTTGGCTTGACACGAATCACAGTCCCGACGTCGACACCGCGAATTCGCACGGGAGTCCCGACAGTGATCCCCCAAGCCTTGGCAAACTCGAATGTGGCAAAGTATTTGCGAGAGCGAGCTCTCAGCTGTGTGCCTTTGACCCAAGCCAGCGTGAGCCCAAGCAGCACGATTCCACCCAGAAGAAACAATCCGAGCCCGGCCTCCCACAGGCTCTTCTTTCCAAATCCAAAGTTACTCAGAGGATGCGAGATTTGGTTCCACATCGACCGGGGAAAATCCAGCAGCGCCTTGAGGCTGCTCTTGGATTTGCGCTGCGGCGGCGGCGACGGATTCACGGCCCGCGGCTCCGAATTGCTCGCTCTGATAATCCGCCGCTGGAATCTGTGCTTGCGGAGGATTGTCAGCGGATCGAAACTGCTCGAGAGCCTGCGGAGAGATCTGGCGATCGGCCGGCATCCTGGAGGCGCGCATGCTATTGAAAGCGCTGTTGGATTCATCATAGCCGCATCTAGAAGAACCCTAGCTGGGGAGGAGAAGAGGAATGCCGCATACCGGAAAATTGGTGCTCATGATGTTCCATCGGCATTATAAACCCTATTTTCTTTTTTAGGGTTTATGCATGGCAGCGCTGGTTGGATTGCCGCTCCTCCGCTGCGGCGGCGTGGATTTCGATCGCTGGCCGAGTCCGCGGCATCGAAATGCAGCTGGATTTTCGGTAAGAATGCCGGCGCTGAGGATTTGCGCCGCGGCTCCCAAGCACAGGAATTTTGCTAGGAAAAGCGACAATGCCTGGAACCAAGCGCTCCAGAACGAGGCTAAGAAGAGGAATGGAAGCTCTCCTCGTCCTAAACAGAAGACAGAATGGAAGAAGAAGAAACCTGTGTCCAAGGATGTGTCGGGAATGTTTATAATCGATCGAGAGGAAGTTCTTCAAGAAGAAGTAAGTTTCTCCATCCCAACCTCCTTAGAATTCTTGTGACTCTCGTTTTCCTGGCAGGAAATAGTGCCAACACCGGCTTGGAATACGTTTGCTAGCAACAGCCATGGTGTTTGGAGAGGAGTCGGAGCAGTTTTTTCTCCGGACACAGCAGCGGTGGAGCCAGTGGGTCTGGGTGGTAGAAACGAGTATCTCTACGACTGCCGGATCGTCAGTTTCGTGGAGTCTGTTCCCGAGAAGAGAAGCATCGACAGGGAAGTGCTGTGGAATTTGCAGAATCCTTACGCTAGCAAAACACAGGAGAAGGTCCAATCACAAGACGAATTAATTGAGCAAGATTTGGCGATAGAAGAGGCAGGATTAGATTTGGAGACTGATAGTGGTGGCGAAGAAGGTTCTGTAGAAGATGGAGCCTCCGACGAAGACGATGTGGAGAGAGAGGCCGATGGGACTAGTGGTGAAGAAGAGTTGACGGACGGTGATGGAGAATTTGATGATAACGAACAGGAACTTGATGATGACTTTGATGACGATGAGGATGACTTTGATGAAGATGACGAAGAAGAACTAGATTCGGACGATGTTGCAGGGGTCGAAGATCCTGAAGGAAGCTCTTCTGAAACTGAAGGTAGTACGTCTCAGGAAGGAAGTGTCGAACCGTTTACTTTATGTGAACTCAAGGCCAAGCACTCATACGAAGGCATGAAGGATGTGATGGAGAAGGAAACAATCGGCATGGAGCCGGGTCTTGTGTTCTTTGAGGTAAAGCCCGCCTGTGGTTTGTGTCAAGTAACAGTTTCCTTTTTACTCCCTCTGCTATTTTTTTTCTTTCTACATCAGGACGGAGCTTTTTCTCGGGGACCAACACGCCTGCTCAGAGCGAAAGATGACACAACCATTGCAAGGGGCTACTTTTACTCACCAACGCACAAAGTAGAGCAGGTGAGTAGACATTTTCTCTTGGTTCCATGTTTTGAAAGCCGGTGTTTTCAAGTGTCTAGTTCGAGCTGGGCATAAGCGGGTGCGGATATGTCACACGATCTCAGTGAATGACGAAACAGACGAAGTGGAAGTCTTGCGCGTCGCTGCGTACGAGGAAGAATGGCTAGGACCTGTAAATGAGCAAAGCTTCAGGTAAATCAAGTTCGCAGTACATGCCTGGCACTGATGGCTGGTTAACTTGAAAAGGTCATCGAGCAACCCCGAGCTCAAGTTGCTATCACAGCGCTCACGCCTCCAATCAAAGGACTTGGTCGGAACTTGGAAGGTGTTTGAGATATATTCTTCAGTCACTCAACAGCAGGATAGCGGAGTATTCACTTGCACAGAGTTCAAGAGGCGCAGGAGGATACCAGCGGCCAGCAGCGAGCAAGAACCGGCCGTGCTGTGGCTGCCAGGTGACATCTACACATACGTCCATTTGACCACAGCAGGCGTCCTGAGAATCGGTGCTGGCTGGAGATTGGAAGAGAAAACGAATCTGGTGATTGAGAGAGACTACGATCCAGACGGCGAGCTACTCGGAGCCCGGGCTCAGACCGAAATACTGCTCTAAGTCAACGATAGGGGGACACGGTTCTACTGTCCATGTCAACAACATAAGACTAAAGGTGAGGCTCCTCTTTTCTTTTCCTTCGGTGTCTCGTAGCTGACTTATCTCTGCGATTGTGATTGCAAAACAATAGGAGAATTTTCGAAAGGACGCACTGCTCAGCTGTTAAAGTGAGTTTCTTTAACCTGGGAAAGGAGGAGAGCCCTAATGATGTGCTTTTCTACGTTTCAGTAGTGCTGCTGCCGGCTACTTCCAGCAGGAGTTGGGCGTTCTTGGCAAGGTGAAAGATTTCTAGTGCAAAACGCTGTATGGCAGATAGCATTTTGATTTGTAACTTGCAGATCAGTATTTGACATCACATAGCTGGATTCGGAGTAGTTTGGAGACAGTTTTCGGGTCCATGCTCTTCCCGGGTCCATGATTCTGATCTCCGACAGGTTGGGTAAAATGGGCGTCGGCCAGAAGACTGTGCTGGCTGTGAAAAGCGTTTCTGCGGGATCAGAGGCCTGGAGCGAGGATAAGTTTCTTCCGGGAGACGTGATCGAGCAGCTCAGAACCGGAAGCCAGGTGGTTGCTGCTGTAAAATCTCCTTTTTCGGGAGGGAAGACTGGCTTTGGTCGAGAGCTCCGGAAACTTGCCTCTGCAAAAGAAAGGATCTATGTGAGAATTTCTCGGCAAGGGAGGAGGCTAGAAATCACTGCGTCTGTGGTTGCTGAGGAGTCTGTGCTTCGAAAGCATTATGCACTGGCAGATTATGAAGATAAGAGCTACACGGCCACCTTTATGGATGCTACTGAAGAGGAATGCGCTCTTATTCAAGGTAAGGCCTTTGCGTTTTTAGCAGTTGCGTCGAATTTTCAACTCGCCAGTTTTTTTTTTTTTTTTTTTTCTTGACTTTTAGACCAGACGCAGAAGGTTTTAGAAGGCAGAGGCAAGTCCAGAACTTCCAACACACAGATGAGAGGCTGCGTTATTTCGTACGCGTGGCAACAAAAGATGCAGCATTTTCTTCCTCCTCCAAATTCGTCAATTGTTTTCTCACTGCTCGTTATGCCGTTTAAGCAAGCTCAACTGGGAGCAGGTTACAACGATGTCGATGACACTTCAGCAAGAGCAATGGCGTGGCTGTCGGCTTCACAAAAGGTAGGAGTACCTATCATTTTTGTGAACATCCAAACAGAACCAATTCTCAGACAGGTAACTGCCTTTAGTAGCAAGTTAAAGTTTCTTAACAAAATTCTGTTTGCAGGGCTCGAGTGCCAGAGGATTTGGCGTGGCTGGTCAAGAAGAGGCATCGAGTGTTGCAAACTCGGGAAGCTATACTGTTCACGATGAGGCTGGAAGCGATATAGGGGTGCTGAGAGGAGTTCGTCTGTGGTTCGCTCCTGCTGCATCAGAGTTGGCATTGAATCTTGTTCCACATGAAAGCGAAAGACTAGGCGTCGGCATCAGTCACACTGAGGAGGTATGTTGGATTTATTTGTTTTTACTGCTCTTTGTTTATACGTCTAGAACTTCCAGGGGTTTCTCTACGTATCATCGGTCGAATCTGGAACTGCAGCCGACCGTGCTGGACTAAAGCAACTGCATGATTCCGGGCGTGCAGCCGGAAAGCTACTAGTGATTTCCCGGATTACTGGAAGAAAAGTCGCCCCCTGGATGGTGCAGTCCTCCGGCGCCATTCGCTGCTTCGACACGCTACTGATCAGCGAGATCCTCTCCTTGCACAAGCAGTCACTGGAGCCGATCCAGATGTTCGTCATGCTGTGGAACGGCGTCGTCCTACTGCCGCGTGGAGCCGACGGCGTCGAGTCGGCACTCTCGTCCAGCGACTTCAGCAGCGACAGCCAGCGAGTTTCCAGGACAAGAACGAGCTCGAGCTCGTCAAGGGTGGTGAAGTGGCAGGACAGCGGCGACTCGGGCAATCACTGTTCCGTCCGTTACGAAAACGAGGATTTCTCCTTCAGCTTGTAGACGGGTGGTGGAGGCAGTGGAGGAGACAAGGACATAAGAGACAGGGACAGAGATAGAGATGGATTGGTGGACGGTGCAGTGGGAGGATGATCGACCGACAAGTTTGACCGCAGTGGTGGTCACAGGTACATTCAAGAATTTGATTCCTGGCAGCTTCTGGAAAGCAGGCGTGGGACCGTTTCCGGTCTGGGATCATGCAAAGACACGAGAATATAAAAAAAGGCTCGGCACGATCAGATGATCAGATGGGATTTATCACCAGGCATGACGTTGGAGACTTATGCACACAAGAAATGGTTTCGTGTGGATTAGATGGAGAAACAATGATAAACAATGCGCGGAGATGCCTTACGCTATAGACCAACCATTCACGGCAAATATCTTCTTCTGGCTTTGCCTTGCGTTGCGGTTGAGCTAAACCAACGACTTGATGCCAGTGACGTAACTCCACCAGGATTTGGAGGTGGAAGAAGTCTTGGACTCTTCGCCGCAGCTGTTCTTGAGGGTAACAGGGCACAGGACGAAGTTCCGGGTTCCCATGTTGGCGATCCGATCATCTGGCTTGAGTGCTGACAAAACCAAGCGGCAGGAAACGTTTGGTAAGACTGACACTTCCACGAGCAGGAGAGATGGAGCGAACCTTGGGAACTGAACTGAGAATCATACAGCTCGAACTCCCGCGTGCTACGACCGAGAGCTGGAACACGGCCTTCGTGTGCGTACTTGAGAAGCGCCATCTTGATCACCTCCTTGACGGTGGCGTCGCTGGTGACAACCATCCTCAGAGGGCCCGTGCTGCCGAGAACAGTCACAGTTACAAGGGTCTTCTTGGTATCAATCGGCATCCCCTGGAAGGAGAAGAAGGAGAAGCTTTGAGCGACGAAGAACCGGAAGAAAGAATGGAAGAAGAACCAGAAGAAGAAAGGTACCTGGAACTGATTGAAGAGCTGAACGAGTGCGAGATATGGAGTATCCTTGGTGCCGTCCTGCCGCTGCTGCTGCTGCTGCTGCTGCTGGGATGCGTCATGGATCGACGCAGCGGACTGGGTCCGAGTGGCGACCTTGTCCATGAAAGCTTGGCCTTGGGCGGAGTCCCACGAGTAGGAGGAGCCGTAAGGCGGATGCACAGGATGGTGTGGCCGTGGAGGTGGCAGCTTGGAAGATCTGGGAGTATGCGAGGAGCCATCCTTGTGTGGTGGGCTCTTCTTCCTCTTGCTCGGACAGCGCGAGGTGGATTGCGAGCGTGAGGAAGACGGCGACATGGACGACTTGGGTAACTTACGGGGCATAAGCTGCTCCATTCTTGGCCGCCGCCGCCGCCGCGAGCAAGAGGGTCACTGCTCGACGGAGTGGAGAGTGCAGCGACGAGCAGAGTCCTGGGAGACTGGCCGCTGGTGTGATCATCAGCCCGAGAGCTTGGGGATTGGATCCTGGCATAAAGTGGGAGCTGGGAATGCGTGCTCTCACGCAACAAGACACGGAAGGAATCGAGCGAGTAGCGAAGAAGACGAGGAGACCCAAACCCGAGAGACCCTTTATCCTATGCGACTGGATGAGATCGAGCAAGCGCCAGTGGCCATAGCCAAGTTGCTGATTGCTTGCTCGAGGAAGGAGGAGGAGAAAGAGCCCTCTACGAGAATGGTTTGTGAGAAAGGGGAAAGAAGAATTATAAATGCGACTGCCACGTGTACCGCCGCCGGCGTTGCCGCGTGGACACGTCCTGTGACGTGGATGCCCTCGTGGACAAAAACACTTGTTAGCGCCATTGGAAGCCACACACACGGTAACACGCTAATCGCTAGAGACCAAATGGAGAACGATCCAGCGATTGAGGGTTTTGGCAGTGTGTCGCTCGATCACAAATGGGCCAGGGGAAAGAATCTTAGCACGGACCGTTTGTTGCCTTGTTCCGATTAAATCGTGTATCACACCAACATTGTCCTCTGTGGCGTGTCGGATCGATTGATTGGCCACTCATCCTACAAGGACGACGCAGTTTGGGCACTAGCGCGTGTAGGATTGAAGGACTCGCAAGACTCTCCAGTACCCGAGGTAGAAGACGACGCTTTTAGGGTTCTTGGCGATAAATTAGGGATTTGGAATATTCTCTAGGAAATATGCTTTGAGAGGAGGAGCCACAGGGAGGGCGGGGCGATGAGATCGGCGGCGAGGAGGATCGCGGCATTCGTGGAGCGCAGCAGCAGCGCTGGATCGCAGCGCCGGGGTTTCGGGAGCTCGGCGTCCACGCCCGCCGTGTTCGTCGACAAGAACACGCGCGTCCTCTGCCAGGGCATCACGGGCAAGAATGGGACCTTCCACACCGAGCAGGCGATCGAGTACGGCACCAAAATGGTAAGCCTTTTCGCGATTTCTAGGTCAAAGAGGGAAGATCTGGGATTGGAATTGGGATCGATGGATTCGTGTATACTTTGGTGGTCCAGGTCGGGGGCGTCACTCCCAAAAAGGGAGGCACAGAGCACCTAGGGCTCCCGGTGTTTAACTCGGTGCACGAGGCCAAGGCCGAGACCAAGGCCAATGCGACCGTCATCTACGTTCCGCCCAAGTTCGCAGCTGCCGCGATCATGGAGGCCGTGGAAGCCGAGCTCGATCTGGTGGTTTGCATCACGGAAGGCATCCCACAGCACGACATGGTACGAGAGTTTTTTTTTTCTTCTTCTTCTTTAGAGTTGTGCTGTTCTACTTGGAATCATTTTTTTCCTGGAGTCGTGACTGACTAGTAGTTTTGCTTCTAGAGCTTGGTTTGTGTGCTATGATTGACTTAAAGCTCTAAGTTTTGTTCTCTAGGACTTCTAAGTTTCTTCTCTAGATCTAGATATGACTTTGAAAGTTTATCTTTTCTAAGTTCTGAATATACTTTCTTTTGACAGGTTAAGGTGAAGTCTGCCATGAAATCCCAGAGCAAGACGCGCTTGATCGGACCAAACTGCCCTGGGATCATCAAGCCTGGAGAGTGTAAGATCGGAATCATGCCGGGATACATCCACAAGCCGGGTCGCATTGGCATTGTTTCTCGGTCCGGTACACTGACTTACGAAGCGGTACTGAAACATTTTCTCGTTTTATCAGAGTTAGCTTATGTGACATCCTTTGCTTTTCTCTTTTCTTCTTTTGCAGGTTTTTCAAACGACTGCTGTTGGTCTGGGCCAGTCGACCTGCGTTGGGATCGGAGGCGATCCATTCAACGGAACGAATTTCGTGGACTGTTTGGAGCGTTTTGTCCAGGACTCACAAACGGAAGGTATGACGCTCTCTTATTTACGCTGCGAGTGTCGGTTCAAGTCCTTTCCGCTTTGCCAGGCATTGTTTTGATTGGAGAGATTGGTGGAACCGCGGAAGAGGATGCTGCGCAATTTATCAAGGTGAAACTCGATCTCTTAATTTGTATAACGCCTTGGACATAACTTGAGGAGGACACTCTTGCAGGAGAGTGGGACGGAAAAGCCTGTAGTGTCCTTCATTGCAGGATTGACAGCCCCGCCCGGGCGTCGAATGGGTCACGCTGGAGGTAAGCTTGAAATTTCAAGCATAAAAGATAAATGGTGTGTTCCTTGCAGCTATAATCTCGGGAGGCAAAGGCACGGCCCAGGACAAAATCAAAACACTGAAAGCTGCGGGAGTCACGGTTGTAGAATCACCAGCCAAGATTGGTGAAGCGATGCACCAGGAATTTAAGAAGCGAAACATGCTTTGACAATGTCGATCGAGAGAGAGAGAGACAGAGACACGAGAAATAACACACTATTTTTTGTTCTCCATTTTTATAGAGTCATTAAATACACTGTTTTAGATCAATGGTGGACGCTCTCCACACGGATTGGAGAGAAGTAACCATTCCCAGTGATATGGGAGAGGATCTCTTGGATCGTGTTGTTTGTCTTCTTCACGCAGTTCTGGGTATGGATTTCCTTGGACATCTCCCGGATCATGCGCACTTTCATCCCATCAAACTTGTACTTGAATAGCGTGCAAAAGTTTCCGCCTTCTTTGATTTGAACCCCATACCAGACTTTATCTCCCCTAGATCTTCTAGAATTGCACAGATCCTCAAGGCGCCTCATCATGTGGCATCGCGTTCCGCCAATCACCACCAAGAGCTGGGCGTTCCTCTTGTCATGATCGTCGCAATCTCTTCTCTCCTGGACGCAGTAGAGCTCCTGGGTGAGGAGCGTGTAAAGCTCTTGAGCTCCAGCGCAGTGGAGGTAGTCCGGTGTCAGTAGCTTGGATGTCGGTCGCGGCCAGAAGTCATGGAAATCTTGATGCCAAGTGATATCTAACCCATCAATGTTACATGCTACCTGATTTTTCTTCGGGATGCCCACTACTTCCTGGAGGCGCTTTCTCTTTGGGGCCCCGGCCGCTTGTCCCTCCTCCTCTCGCTGCCTCTTCGTGTTCTTTCCCTTCCTGATCGCGTCGCTGTTACCTTTGGCGCTCTCCATCGCTGCCACGCTATAAGCTTTGGCCTTCTTGTCCACGCTCTCCATCGCTGATAATCCTTTTCGTCAAACCTAAGGGTCTATTTATATGGAACAAGAAAAGGCAATTCACGGAACCCACGGTTTAAGCCTTTTCAAGAAATTATGAGATAAAACTCACCAAGAAGGTGGCCTTGAGAAAAGAAAGACAGCAGCACTTGCAAGGGCTTGCCTTCCTTGTCTGTGAGAGCTTCATAAGCAGCTTGGATCCTCGAGGTTATGAGACATGACCTTCTAATTTGTTGGCCATTGATCTCTATGACCTGGATCATCAGGAATTTTGCAAATTCACAGATGAAAATGATATGGAAAGCTAGTAAATACCAGTGTGAGCTCTCCCATTGTTCCCGTTGTCCACACCTATAGCATTGGAAGAATGTTCCATCTAGATGATACCTCATCTGCTGTGTGAAACTCTGTTAATGAAGATGTTATGGTCAGCAGTAATCTGGCAGAGGGTGTCAAAACACGTCCCTTTTTCACCATGAACTGTCAAACAGGAGAAATGATATAAATCTAGATTCACAAATCGGTTTGCCATCTTAAATATTTTTGTCTTTGTCCTTCTTTGCCACTTTGGCAGCCCTTGAGTCTGCTATGCTGAAAGACAAATCATTGAAAAGGACATCACAGAGAAAACAGCTTTGCTTAAGTTTCTGAAGTATCTTGTTTATGGGCTAATAGCTTTCAGCCGAAGAGAATCAGGGGTAAATATTTCTGGTGCTGCCGCTGCCCAGCACTGGAGCATGGAGTTCCTGGATGCTGGAAATTCGCGTCGAGGCCTTGATCCGGGCCGCCAGTACCACGACTTGGTCGTAAACGAAATTGCCATCTCTCGGGCAGCGGCATCGCCAACAAGAGCTCCATTCCATCCCCTTCCCGTGTGGCAGCATGAGGATTCCCTGTCCCAATGTTGCATTGATCCAGTCGTTGGCCATGCAACCTGTTGGGAACTTCCCCTTGAAAACAGCAATCAAATCAAATTGTTATGGTGAATTTTCAAATTTATGAATTGTTTACAACAAGGGACACAATATAAGTTAAAAACCAAAAATGACACAAATGTGATTATGGGTATCAAAGGTTAATTGTATATAAAGCCTTTTTTAGATTTTTTTTTTTTACTGTTACAATGGCAAAAGATCAATATTATTTAACCCTTTATTATTTTCTGCCTAAACTAGTTTTAAACTGGTCTTCATGTGCATTTGGTTAGAAGAGTATAAGAATAAAATTCTTAAATGCTATTAGTCAAGCATATTTAATTTGGTTAGAAGAATTCATATTTTAATTTGCACTTGCTAGTGTTGGGAACCTTTATGATATTAAGTGTGATCTCTCAATAATAACTAAAGACACTTTTACTATAATTCCTTTATATGTTAGTTCATCTCAGTCTTATTAGTTATTTATGGAAAAGATCTAGATTTGTTAGTTAGGTGGAATGTAGAGATTAAACATGGTAGAGTTGTTCTCACATCTAAATTTATAAATTAATATCATTTCATATTTAATAAGTTTTCATGATTGAATTGGAAGCCCAAAACGTGCAGGGGTTCTAAATATATAATAGAGATAGTAGGTAAATTAAATATACTCGACCAACTTGAAGCATAGTCTAGCTTCTGCTTATGTTTGTCCTCGTTTTGAGTCTGACTTAAATTTAACCCTAAACTCCATACCATATTAACTGATAAAATGTATGTATCCTCACAATAACCCACCAATATACCAAAATAACACTAAATTTCATTTAGTTTTGTTTTGTCTTGGCATTAAAATGTTAGATACTTTAAAACTATTCTAATATCACTTTGTGCTTCTATTCTTCTGAGTAAGTTGACGTGAAACATATAATGCATCTTCTCTATCTCATAAGAAAGTTTGAGACAGTAAGCCACTTTATTGATTCATCTTTGGGTTGAACATTTAGGAGTCATTTTAACTTTTTTACTCATTAGCTGTATATTTGAGATTTGGGCTCCATTTCTTTATTTAATAACCTAAAGCCTTAAACTTTGGTTCCTGTGAGACACAAAATCCCTAGGCCCCAAAGTAGAGCCGGAGGGGTGCCACGTGGTAGTGGCCGAAGTGAAAAC